ATTTGCTGTTCTTTCTCCAGCTCCTTTAGGTGTAGGGTTAGGTTGTGTATTTGAGACCTTTCTTGTTTCTTGAGAAAGGCTTGTATTGCTATATACTTTCCTCTCAGGACTGCCTTTGCTGTATCCCAAAGATTTTGAACAGTTGTGTTTTCATTTTCATTGGTTTCCATGAATTTTTTAAATTCTTCTTTAATTTCCTGGTTGACCCATTCATTCTTTTGTAGGATGCTCTTTAGCCTCCATGTATTTGAGTTCTTTCCGACTTTCCTCTTGTGATTGAGTTCTAGTTTCAAAGCATTGTGGTCTGAAATAGGCATGTAATAATCCCGGTCTTTTGGTACCAGTTGAGACCTGATTTGTGACCTAGGATGTGATCTATTCTGGAGAATGTTCCATGGGCACTAGAGAAGAATGTGTATTCCATTGCCTTGGAATGGAATGTTCTGAATATGTCTGTGAAGTCCATTTGGTCCAGTGTTTCATTTAAAGTCTTTATTTCCTTGTTGATCTTTTGCTTAGATGATCTGTCCATTTCAGTCAGGGGGGTGTTAAAGTCCCCCACTATTATTGTATTGTTGTCAATGTGTTTCTTTGCTTTTGTTATTAATTGCCTTATATAATTGGCTGCTCCCATGTTAGGGGCATAGATATTTACAATTGTTAGATCTTCTTGTTGGATGGACCCTTTAAGTAGGATATAGTGTCCTTCCTCATCTCTTATTACAGTCTTTGTTTTAAAATCTAATTTGTCTGATATAAGGATTGCCAGCCCAGCTTTCTTTTGGTGTCCATTAGCATGGTAAATGGTTTTCCACCCCTTACTTTCAATCTGAGGGTGTCTTTGGGTCTAAAATGAGTCTCTTGCAGACAGCATATTGATGGGTCTTGTTTTTTAATCCAATCTATAGCCTATGTCTTTTGATTGGGGCATTGAGCCCATTTACATTCAGGGTAACTATTGAAAGGTATGAATTTAGTGCCATTGTATTGCCTGTAAGGTGACTGTGACTGTATATTGTCTGTGTTCCTTTCTGATCTATGCTGCTTTTAGGCTCTCTGTTTGCTTAGAGGACCCCTTTCAATATTTCTTGGAGGGCTGGTTTCGTGTTTACAAATTCCTTTAGTTTTTGTTTGTCCTGGAAGCTTTTTATTTCTCCTTCTATTTTCAATGACAGCCTAGCTGGATCTGGTGTTCTTGGCTGCATATTTTTCCCATTTAGTGCTCTGAAGATATCATGCCAGTCCTTTCTGGCCTGCCAGGTCTCTGTGGATAGGTCTGTTGCCAATCTAATGTTTCTACCATTGTAGGTTACATATCTCTTCTCCCGAGCTGCTTTCAGGATTTTCTCTTTGTCTCTGAGACTCGTAAGTTTTACTATTAGATGTTGGGGTGTTGACCTATTTTTATTGATTTTGAGAGGGGTTCTCTGTGCCTCCTGGATTTTGATGCCTGTTTCCTTCCCCACATTAAGGAAGTTCTCCGCTAGTATTTGCTCCAATATACCTTCTGCCCCTGTCTCTCTTCTTCTTCTTCTTCTGGGATCCCAATTATTCTAATGTTGTTTTGTCTTATCGTATCGCTTATCTCTCGAATTCTGCCTTCATGATCCCGTAATTGTTTCTCTTTTTCTCAGCCTCTTTATTTTCCATCATTGGTCTTCTATATCGCTGATTCTCTCTTCTGCCTCATTTATCCTAGCAGTTAGTGCCCCCATTTTTTATTGTACCTCATTAATAGCCTTTTTGATTTTGACTTGGTTAGATTTTAGTTCTTTTATTTCTCCAGGAAGGGTTTCTCTAAGAACTTCCACGCTTTTTTCAAGCCCAGCTAGTATCTTTAAAGTCATGATTCTGAACTCTAGGTCCGACATCATACTAATGTCCATACTGATTAGGTCCCTGGCAGATGGTACTACCTCTTGTTCTTTTTGCTGAGGTGATTTTTTTCGTCTTGTCATTTTGTCCAGAGGAGAATAGATGAATGAGAGAACAAAGTGCTAACAAGTTAACAATGTCCCCAGCACATATACTCTATACAAATCAGAAAAGACCTGAAACCAGGGGAAAAGAAAGGGAAAGAAAGAAAAAAGAAAGAGAAAAAAAAAGAAAAAGTAAAAGATAAAAACAAACAAAAACAGAACAAAACAAACAAAAACAGTATATGATCAAATATGATCAGGCTAGTGCATAGGTCAGTGCCACACACTAGATTTTGGGCATTTTTTGGTCTGTTAGAAAAAAAGTGCCTTCTACAGTTTTAAAGGAAGAAAGACATATATGTACAAAATAAGGGTTGATACAATGAAGGGATGGCAGATGAGTGTAAAGATGAAAATTATAAAAGATTTTATATAAGGAATTGATAAGAGAAGAAGTTGTTTCAAAAAAGAAAGAAGAAGATTTAAACAAAAGAAAGAAAAGAAAAAAAAAGGAGAGAATGTGATCAGGCAGGAGACTAGAACAAAGCCATACACTAATGATTTTGGGGTATACTTTGATCTGTTAGAAGAAACTGTATCTCAAAATTTTAAAGAGAGAACAACTTATATATATATATATGCCAAAAATAAGGGTATCTACTATGAAGGTATAAAATATGACTCTCAAAATGAAAAATAAAAAATGTTTGTTTAAAAAAGGGATTGATAAGATGTTGGTTGAAAAGGGAAAAAGAAAAATTAAAAAAAACAGTGAAAAAAATTAACTTTGAAAAACTAATGAATCATGGTAAAAAAGCCATGGATTCTATGTGCAGTATTCCCCCAGCGCTGGAGTTCTCTCGTTCTCCTTGATCGGTAAACTTGGTCTTGGCTTGCTGGCTGTTTGTGCTGATCTTCTGGGGGAGGGGCCTGTTGCCCTGGTTCCCAAATGTCTTTGCCGGAGGCGGAATTGCCCCGCCCTTGTCGGTCGGGCTAAGCTATCTGCTCGGGTTTGCTCTCGGGAGCTTGTGTTCCCTGCAAGCTCTCGGTACAGCTTTGGAGGACCAGGGTGAAAATGGTGGCTTCCCAATCTCCGCCCAGAGGAGCTGAGAACTCAGGGTCCCACTCCTCAGTGCGACCCCAGATAAAAGCAGTCACTCCCGTCTCCCCGGTCTCCGGCCACACTCCGTGCTCACCCGGCCTGTGACTGAGCGTTTCTATATCTGGCACCCGACCCCGTGTGGAGTCTCCAAACCCAGCAGATCCCCGAGATGCGCTCCCGCGCCGCTCCTTCCGGGGGAGGAAGGGGAGTCTCCCCGGCTCTGCCACTTGTTGGGTCCCTGCTGGAGGAGCAGTGGCCCGACTGGGCCGCGGATCACGGTTTATGGCCACCCCGAGCTGAGAGCCCGCACCTCGGCTCCGTCTCTGCAGCCAGCTTCCCCGCTCCGATACCTGGGAGCTCTGCTGCACTCAGGCACCCCCGGTCTTTCTGTGACCCTGAGGGTCCTGAGACCACACTGTCCCACAAGGGTTCCACCCCCCGCTTAGCCACTGGAGCGACGTCGCTCAGCGGAGCCGACTTCTAAAAGTTCCGATTTTGTGCTCCGCGGCTCTAGCACTTGCCAGAAGTGGCAGAGGCCCCCTCCCCCGCCGTCTATCCTCCCGAATATTGCCTCAGATTCATTTCTCCGCACGTCCTACCTTCCAGTAAGTGGTCGCTTTTCTGTTCAGAGAGTTGTTGCTACTCTCTTCTTTGATCTCCTGTTGAGTTCGTAGGTGTTCAGAATGGTTTGATCCCTATTCAGCTGAATTCCTGAGACCAGACGAAATCCAGGTGTCCTACTCCTGTGCCATCTTGGTCTGACCCCCCAAATAATCATTTTTTAAAGCTTTTATTTATTTATTTGTCAGAGAGAGAGAGCACAAGCAGGGGGAGTGGCAAAGGGAGAGGGAGAAGCCAGCTCCCCATTGAGCAGGAAGTCTGGACGGGGCTTGATCCCAGGACCTCGGAATCACAACCTGAGCTCAAGGCAGACGCTTAACTGACTGAGTCACCCAGGCACCCCAAATAATAATCATTGAAAAAATCCATAATCAAACCACTCTGAGAAGGCACATGTGGTCTCTTTTTACCTTATAGACATTGTGAATTTGTTTATGTCACCCTCTGTCCCATTTCTATCTTAATTTTTTCCCATTTCCTTTCTTTTCTTTTCTTGCATTTTAGAAATGCATTTCTTTATGCCATATTGTTAGTCATTTCCATGACTGTTCCTCATGAGAAAGTCTAAATTGGTTGGCCCGACATCTAGCTTACTCATGGTATGAATATTGTGTCCCTCCCGTGTGTTTCTGTCAGTGTTCTTGGCACAATGAACTTGTGGTTTTTATGAATCTATCATGTATTGCTGCTTTCTCTGCTCTCCTGTTCCCCTACCTAACCCCTCCCGGTGCACTAGGAATGGGCTTACCTTTCACCTACCTGGGAGTGCACCCCGCCCTGCTTGCAGCCTTCTAGACTGCATGCCATGGCTTGCGTGTGCGTTCCTTTAGCCCCTGGGCACTCTCTGCCTGAGCACTCCTCTCATACTGAAATTGCATGTACTACTAGACTGTAATGAAAGTTTGCTAAAGGCAAGAACTGTGTCTTATTTATCTATATCATTAGTTTCTTGTCGGGGAGATAATAAATGCATTTTGGATAGCTATATAAATGTGAGAATAAAAGAAGAATAAGTGACTGCATGTAAATAGGACCTATCTTAAAATCTTCTTGGAATAAAATTCGTTATAAATACATAGACAGAACTTTCTTTCCTTCATTTCATATCATGTCACTCTGTGCCATTGTTACAGGATGTCTGCAGCCAGCAACATAAGTGCTGCTGGAAACCGGCACCCGATACTAATGTCCCTTGGTGCTTCTTCCCCAGGAACTGGGGCTATGAAGTCGCCAGTGGCAAGAATCATACAAGGACAGGTGAGCATTATCCTGATGAGCACCCAGGGAATCACTCTTTACGACTCAGATAAGCTAACTGCAAAATAAAATCTAAAAGCTTCTTTCCCCTTCCCCCATTTTCCTCCCACCACCTCTAGGGTTTACAACCCAGTTGAGAAAGTTGCCGTTCCCATCTCTGTTTGGATACGATGTCAAGAACGCCCTCTTCACAGCTGAATATCAGACATCCAATCGTTTTCATTTTAAGGTTGGTTTGGTCGTTACCACTGAATACATCTCTGGGGAAAGCAGTGCCCCCACACTGGATTCGGATCATTCACCTTTAAGGCACTGCATAGAGGTGTGGAGGCAGAAGGTGCCTCTCTGTTCCTCTCTGCAGGAATCTCCCAAGGGGATGTGTGGGCTGTGTTGTGTTTTGGGGCATACACGTGATTGGGTGATTTTTTTCCTCACAACTCAGGAAACACAGGATTAAGAATTAGAAGCTATTTTCTTTGGGGGCTGAGAGTGAAGCTTCTTTGTAGCTCTACAAGGAAGTGGTTTCATCTGGAGTTGGTCTTTCTCTTTCTCTTCTGACAGATCAATGATAGTGAAAACAAACGCTATGAAGTCCCCCCTGAAATTATTAACCTGTCTAATAGGACTACTAGAACCTCCAATTTGAACTATCACATAGAGGTCACTGATAAGCCCTTCAGCATCAAGATAATGAGGACAAGCAACAGAAGAGTCTTGTGAGCTTTTCAACACCCTTTGTGTATCTTTGAATATACAGTCTCAATATCATTCAGTCTGCCTTACTGGGGGTGGATGATGAGATAAGTATGACCTGGGAAAATGTTTGGACCTTAGAAAATGTCAAAGTTTTTACTGTAAATCATTAACACTTGCTAATGATACAGCATGCTAAAATATAATGTGCTGGTGTGCTAAGTTAGAGAAATGCACTTGTAGTTAATGTCTTTCATGAGAGAGGAAATTTTATTATTTTGGATGACCATTCACTTTGGAACTCAACTTCACTGTTTATCATTCCAAATTTTAATTTCCTGAGAAACTTGCCTTGAAGAACCTAACAATGGCCTGAGCTTAAACATAAATTGTATGGGAGAAAGTACAGGGATTAATGTCGGTAAAACCTCTTTTCAAGTTCTGGCACCAGCAAGTCACCGGTCGGCTTTGGGATGTTAGGCAAAGCATCTCACATCCACCTCAGTTCCCACATCTATAGAAAGGGAATCAGAATATCCACTGTCGCTCTGTGAATGGAGCTATATTCATGAAGCATCCAGAGCAGGTCCCGGCATGAAGCAGATGCCCAGCAAGTGTAAGGTCCCATCTGCTCTCTTCCCCCAGTCATCCAACTTGAGTTTCTGGTGTCATGTCTCCTCTAGAATGAAAGCATCAGAGACACCCTAGAAGGGTGTCTCCTCCTTCCAAGGTAGTACGAACGTGGATGAGAACACCCGAAACAACTGTTCTCAAAGTGAACAGGGAGAGTAGCGGACAGGGTCCTGGCAGAGAGAGCTGTTTGGTGACTCTCATTCTTACCCCACGGCCCAGACTGGACACGAGCATCGGGCCCCTGCAGTTTGCCCAGCAGTACCTGCAGCTGTCCTTCCGACTTCCCAGCACTGCTGTGTACGGGCTGGGGGAGCACGTGCACCAGCAGTACCGCCACAACATGAGCTGGAAGACCTGGCCCATCTTCACGCGCGATGCCGCCCCCACCAAGGTGAGTTTCCCTCCCCCCTACCTAGGGCTCACGGTAAGGAAACCCTTCTCTCCTTTAGGGAAGTGACCTAGAGTCAAGCAACCTACAGATTTATAGCCATATCTTATTTTGCCCAAGTTAGATCCATCTGTGCTGGAGGATACTTGTTCTTGAGGTTTATCAACTCACAGTAATATATCCACTTTTTTGGTTTTGTTTTATTATTTTTTTTTATTGAGGTATTGCTGACATACATTATATTAGTTTCAGGTGTACAACATCATGATTCTATATTTGTCTATATTGTGAAACAATCACCACAATAAGTCTAATTAACATTTGTCACCACACTAGGTACAGGATTATTTTCTTCCTTGTGATGAGAACTTTTTTTTTTAAATTCAGTTAATTAACATATTATTAGTTTCAGAGGTAACGGTCAGTGATTCATCAGTAACATATCAATTTTTAAAAACATCCCACTTTGAAAGGAAAACATAATTTAATGACTGTATGATAGTCTAATATATATTAGAAAATCCTTCTGCAAAATATGTTTGTCTTTAATAATTGGGTAGTATCTAGGGGAGAGCTTCAGCAGGAGCTACCCCCAGTAGAACTCTGAAGACTAAAAAAAATTCCTCTTTTGGCAGTTTTAGTATTATTCTAGGGCTCTGCTACTTGAAGTATGTTCTGGAGAAAGCAGTGTTGGCATCACTTGGGAGGTTGTTAGAAATGCAGAATCTCAAGTCAGAGCCCAGACCTATGGAACCATATCTGCATTTTAATAAGATCTACAAGTGAACCACACGCATATTCAAGTGGGCAAAGAGCTGGTCTAGAGCAGTGCCTCTCAACTTACCCGTAGTGAAGGATCAGTTCCTTTCTTTCTCTCTGTTATTTTTTTTTTAATCCTGGGGAAATGAAATAAAATTACTCAAAGACATAAAATATAAGCCCAAATTTTAAATTGAACAGCTTTAAAATTACTCTTTTAGATTGCTATAAAGTTTCTAAACTCTTTCTCTTGTTTTTTGTACTTTCCTTGCTGATTTACAGCAAAGGATGGTGGGGAGGTACCAGTCCACGGACAATACTTTGAGTAGCATTGCTTTGTAGAGCAGGTCTTGAAGCCTCCAGTGTGCTGATGATGTTTCCCAAATCTGTGATGTATGTTGCAAGGGAAGGATGGGACTGAAGTTTTGCAATTCGTATTCCACAGGAGATGAACAAATCAAGTAGCACATTAACTGGCCCACCCACCAATGTCTGATGCAATGAAGGGGACACACTTACTGAACCAGAGTAAAGCAATAGCCAGCACATTCACTGGAGTGCTTGCTCAAGGCCCTTGACAAACATGGAACATAAGCATCATACTAAGCTTGGCTCTCTAGAGCTGAAAAAGCCTTAAGTTATGTAGTCACAGATTAGATAAAGGTCTTATCTATCTTCCTTCTTTCCTTCCTTCCTTTCTTCCCACTCCTTTCTTCCTGTCTTCTGACCCTCTCTTTCTCTCACTTTTTCACTCACAGTAATACACATTATCTCTTTTTATGTCAGTGCTCATCACAGCCCTGTGGCAGGTTCAGTATCTTTTTTTAAATTTTAAAGTTATTTACTATCTAAGTATTATATATTAATTATAGAAAAATTAGAAAATACAGCTAGGCGTAAAGAAGAAATACAAAATTTCTCATAATAACATTATCTTCTGCTAACATTTTGTCATATGTCTTTGCAGGTATTTTCCAAATTTTAAAAAATAACTTGACTGGGATATAATTTATATACTATACAATTCATCTGTTTTAAATGTACAATTCAGTGATTGCTTAGCACATTACTGAGTTGTGCAGCTATTATCATAATCCAGTTTTAGAAGATTTTCAACTAGGATCCCTCATACTTTTATAGACATAATCCCCATTCCCACCCCAGTGCCCACCTTAGCCCTGGGCAATCACCATTCTGCTTTCTGTCTATATAGATTTGACTTTTCTGGATACTTCATATAAATAGAATCATGCAATATTTGGTTTCTTTTGTAGCCGTTTCTTTCACTTAGTATCATATTTATGAGGTTTATTCCTGTTGTAGCATGGATCAGTTTTTCATTTCTTATTATTACTAATAGTATTCCATTGTATGTATTTTGTTTATCCATTTATCAGTTGATATTACCAATTCAATACCTTTTTGATATAATACTAAACCACGTCAGGTGTTGACCAAGTACATGTTGTATGTGGCGTTTGACTTTATTCTAGGGTGAATAAAAACATTTTCAACATGTACTACTATTATTTGTTATCATTTTTCTTGACAGGACATGATTAATCTGTATGGAGCTCATACATTCTTCCTGTGCCTTGAAGACACCAGCGGCTCCTCTTTTGGTGTTTTTCTGTTGAACAGTAATGCCATGGGTAGGAAGTATCTTTTTATCTCAACAGGAATATGTTTTGGGATGTGGCTTTTATAAAACCAACTTTCATGGCGAGATCACTATTTAACAGAATGTGTATTTAACCTACAACGCTTCTATATGGGAACCCAAAAGTAGGGTGACCTGTTACAAATCTAGTTCATGCTGAAAGCTATTTCCATTGAAAACTTCTTTCGGGTTCTCTTTTGATGCAGTGTTTTCCATAATATTCTGTAGGTAATAAGATGCATTGACAGAGAGGTCCCAAAGATACCTGTAGATTTCAACATGTAAACCAGACTGTCTGTAGGCAACAAGGCTGTGTTCTGTGTTTCTCATAGCTCATTCCTTCCCTACTCCAGAATCTTCTCCCTCAAGCTTCTGGACTAACAGTGCCTTAATAAGAGCTTGTTTTTATTTTTATTTGTAAATTGTAATTAAACTCGTCTAATAAGGTTTTTAAAACTTTTCCATTACTTTAAATCATTCACAAATTCCAGACATTTGTATTGTTATATAACCAGATTAGAATAGAATTGGTTCTCAGGGGCGCCTGGGTGGCTCAGTCGTTAAGCGTCTGCCTTCGGCTCGGGTCATGATCCCGGGGTCCTGGGAACGAGCCCCGCGTCGGGCTCCCTGCTCAGCGGGAAGCCTGCTTCTCCCTCTCCCGCTCCCCCTGCTTGTGTTCCCTCTCTCACTGTCTCTCTCTGTCAAATAAATAAAATAAAATCTTTAAAAAAAAATAGAATTGGTTCTTAATTGAATTAAAATAAAAAATAAAATTATAATAAGAAAAAAATAGAATTGGTTCTGCTTTCTCTTAAAAAATCAGTTCTTCATTAGTGTTTTACTCATTTATTATTATAAATGTCAGCAATCTAAAGAAAAGAATTTTTTGTGTGGTTTTCATCTCTTGCAAAATGAGACTGAGATTGTTTTGGATAGCTCAGGTATTCATATTTTAGAGAAAAGTATATTTGCAACCACAAAATTCTAATTCTAATTCTAATCCTTTCAGAGGTCACCCTGCAGCCTGCTCCTGCCATCACTTACCGCACGATTGGGGGCATCCTTGACTTTTATGTATTCCTGGGAAATACTCCAGAACAAGTGATTCAGGAATACCTGGAGGTATGGGCTTTGCTTGAACAGAGTTATAAATGGAAATGGAAACAGTGTTTTCTGTATCAGACATGGTGCTCAAAACAGTAGTTTTTAAATGCTTAGACATGTCTATATTTATTTTTTCAGCTCATTGGACGACCATTGCTTCCTCCCTACTGGAGTCTTGGGTTCCAGCTTAGTCGCAGGAACTATGGTGGCATCAATGGATTGAAGGAGGTTGTGAACCGAAATCTTGTAGCTGGGATCCCTTATGTAAGTTGGAACTTCTCTTAACCTGTGTAAGGCACCATTTCCTATCTTTTAGTTTTTGCATCTAATTCAACGTATTAGGAAGAAATACAGAGAGAGATAGGTGGATAGATAGATAGATAGATACGTACATACATATGTAGACAAACAGGCACACCTAGTGTCAGAAATTTGCATGCTAAATTACCTGTGTCATCATGGAAACAGCAGTTTATGGAGTTGGATGGATATGGTTTTGAATTTTAGCTTTACTTGTTCCTGGCTCTCTCAGTGTTGGGCTGGTTGATTAGCACCTCTGAGTCTTAGTTTCTCCCTTTATAAAATGAGAATGTAAGGCTTCCCTTGGTGGACTGGTAGTGAGGAATGCCTTACACTATGCACGAAAAGCAGGCAGCACATTGGATGAGCTCCATCAAAGTTAGCTGTTATTTTATGAAAGAAAGCAGCACGTGGGGTGATATGGTTAACAAGAGCTGATGATTGTAAAAATGACTCACAGTAAGTGAATTTCTCATAGCGACCTTGAACCCTCCTTCCAGATCTAGCACACTCTAATTTTGAAAGTTCAGTGGTTGCCAAGTATTTATGATGTTCAATGTCCACTGGTAAATAGATAATTATTAAGTGTAGACTACTTGATAAGTTCCTCCAGGAGATGTAGAATGCCTTTAATGAAGTTACCAAACAGTTTATTTGGGGCTAGATCTTTGGAACTGTGTCGCAAGCATATATTTGGGTGGCATGCGAAGGAAGAATGTGCAAGTGGAAAGGACTGTGGCCTGATCTCAGGACTTAACAATGCCCTCCCAGGGCAGCAAGGAGAGCAGGCAGGGAGATGAATTTTTCCTGTGAGAAAACATGCCTGCTGTGGTGTTTTGGTGTCTAGAGGAAATTGATCATGTGTTTCATTAAAATGCTCCCTATTCTGATACCTGCAAGCTCTCAATTCCAGGAGGAATCAGGCCAAATCTTGCCACATGGTTATTATTTTATAAGGTGCTTTCACAACCATGGTTAAACGTCATTTATTGGTATTTTGTAAATGAGATAATGGAAACACACTGCATAGTTAATAACTTTTCTAAGGTCACTAGAACTAGCTAAATGGCAGGACCAGGATTCAAAAATAGCTCTTTTGACTCCATGTGGTATTGGTTTCAATCTATGCCCGTACCTCTGATGTGAAGGGCTTTTCTGAGGTGTTGCTGATTCAGGAACAAATGAGCTTTCCCTCCACGGATTGGATCTTTCCCACCATGTGCAAGTGGAGGCACTGGGTATTGACTGACTGCCCAGTGTTAGAACAGATGTGCTGCATTGGCACCAGGCCACCAGCCACATTTTCCTGCAGGCCTGGAAGCTAGAACTTTCTAAGACACATGAGGAACACTAACTATGCGAGGAACACATTCTTAGAAGATCTTCAGATGTCCTTGAAGTTGTGGCAGTTTGGGGAAAAAAAGCAGCTGGATTCAAAGGGCCTATCACAAAAGCTGCAGTCAGCCCCACCCACCCCTGCGTATGACCTTGGGAAATGTCACTCAAACCCTTCACATTTCAATCTTCTCACTAAGAATAACACCTGCTCCTCACAGATTGGTATGCAAACACTAAAATAAACTATGTATGAGACTTTGGTGAATTAAAGCTCTGCCCCTTTGTTGTTTATCTTTGTGAGTTATTATTCTAGAAGTTTTATAGAGCAAGAAGACTGTTTTCTCCTCTTATGATATAGTCTACCTTAATGTTTAGGGTCCAAGTTAGCACACGGTTACAACATTACTAATATACTCACCCAAACAGACATTTAAAGAGCACCTGTTTTATGTCAAGCATCCAGGCTCTCAAGTTTCAGGGATGGGGACATCTGGGTGGCTCCGTTGGTTAAGCATCTGCCTTTGGCTCAGGTCATGATCCCAGAGTTCAAGGACCGAGTCCCGCATCAGGCTCCTTGCTCAGTGGGGAGCCTGTTTCTCCTGCTGCCTGCCGCTCTCCCTGCTTGTGCTCTCTCTCTCTCTGACAAATAAATAAATAAAATATTTAAAAAATAGTTGCAGGGATGAACAAGGCACAGTCCCTACCCTCAAGTTCCTCCCAAAGCCTCATGACATGCATCGGTCAGGACAAAGACATAAAACTGCAACCTGAGAGAGCCTGCATCTTTCAGAAGGGCCTTATTTATTTCTAGGAGGTAGCCAAGCCCTGGAAGTTCAAGAATCATTAAGAAATATGGCTTCAGGGGCGTCTGGTTGGCTCAGTCAGTTAAGCATCTACCTTCAGCTCAGGTCCTGATCTCAGGGTCCTGGGGTCAAGTCCCACATCCGGCTCCCTGCTCAGTGGGGAGTCTGCTTTTCCTTCTCCCTCTGCCTCTCCCCTCTGCTCGCACTCTCTCTCTCTCTCTCAAATAAATGAATAGAATCTTGAAAGAAAGAAAGAAAGAGAAAGAAAGAAAGGAAAGAAAGAAAGAAAGAAAGAAAGAAAGAAAGAAAGAAAGAAAGAAAGAAAGAAGAAAGAAAGAGAGAGAGAAAGAAAGAAAGAAAAAGAAAGAAAGAAAGAAAGAAAGAAAGAAAGAAAGAAAGAAAGAAAGAAAGAAAGGAAGGAAGGAAGGAAGGAAGGAAGGAAGGAAGGAAGGAAGGAAGGAAGGAAGAAAGAAAGAAAGGAAGGAAGAAAGAAAGAAAAATATGGCTTCAGTTTTAGCGAGCAAGAACCAGAGCTATGATACTTTCTGTCAGCACGGTGATATTTCCTAGGTTCTAACTGGCTGGCACTATCTTTCAGGATGTCCAGTACTCTGACATAGACTACATGGATGGAAATAAGGATTTCACCATTGATCAACAAGCCTTCCCTGATCTCTCAAATTTTACCAACGACTTACATAAGCAAGGACTGAAATATGTAATCATTATGGTATGTTGAAACAAGTCTGTTGCCTTGTTTTCCCTTTCAATGTGCAAAAGAAATTGACAAAAATAATATTTGTTATATTTATTTATTAGAATCCTGGCATCTTAAATGACTCTGACTATCAGCCCTATATGAATGGAAGGAAAAAGAGAGTATGGATCTTGAGGGACAATGGCTTTGCCGTTGGGCAGGTAATTTTGCAAGGAAATCAATAAATTACAGTAATTTGGGGAAGTTTGTACTTTTATTATGAAAGTGAGTAGAAGCACGTTGTAGTATCATCACTGTTTTCATGCTTTAGAGGCTTCCTTTATTATTATTTTTAAAACAGTAGATATAATAGTAAAATGATTAAAATTCTGAAGGATTTTTAAAATTGAAATATATTTGACATATGACATTGTGTAAATTTAAGGTTTACAGCATGTTGATTTGATACGTTTATATATTGCAAATTGTGGGGAGAGCACTTCTACCATATCACATAATTATCATTTCTTTTTTTGTGGTGGGAAAAATTAATACCTAGTCTCTAAAAAGCTAGCCCCTGACCTTCTACAGGTACTACAGATATTTGAGAGGCAATGTATTATAAGAAGAAAATTCATTTATTCTTAAAGGCCCCCTGCCTCTCAATTTCTTTCTCTTTTCCAAGACAATACATTCAGCTACAATAATGTAGTAGGATGATCACAGTCTAATGTGAAACCTGTCTCAGCTAATGCACTTTTATTTTACATGAGACTTAACAGAGCCCAGCCTTTTTTCAGGCATTGGAGTAGGCTGATTAGAAGCCTATTTCCGGAGTACTTTACATCAAATCATGGAGGCAACTTTCTATTCCAGTTACGTATAGGGCCAGCCCTAGCTGACTAGATTATGTGAGGTTTACTAAAACTGATACTTAATCTGAGAGTTTATGTGGCTGCAAGTTGTGTTGCTCCTAGGCGGTTTACTTTTCAAACCTGTCTTTTCAGGGTTATCAATGCCCCCTTAATCCCCCTTTAACGGCTCACTTAATTCCTATCATTGACTTTGTTTACAATACTTAATTCTATTTACTTTCTTTTTCATTGAGTCTAAACTTCTATGAAATAGTAGTTTCCTTCCTTCCCCAAACCAATGCTTTGATTTTATTGTTTTGTTTGAAGTGAATTTCTATAATATCAGACCGATATTCATATGTAAGTACAAAATCAGAGCCCGTGGTCACATATACATGATTTTGATTATCTAAAAAGTAGGTTATCCAGACCTGTGAGTCATTTCAGTAGTACTCATGTTTGAGTGGTGTACAACTGGTAATTTGCATATAATTACAAGAATTTAATTAGTTGCCTCCATTGACCAAGAAATACCTTGACCAATCACAAACATTTGATCTGAGATGTTGGCAGAGGTAGTAGTTTTGGAGGTGGGTGGAGGTTTATTATAAAGGTATTTGGGTGGTGCCTGGGTGGCTCAGGTGTTCAAGCGTTCGACTTAGGTCATGATCTCAGGGTTGTGAGACTGAGGCCTATGTCGGAGTCTGCGCTTAAGATTCTCTCCCTCTCCTCTCCCTCTGCCTCTCCTCCCACCCCCACTCAGACTCTCTCTCTTTCTAAAATAAACAAACAAATAAATTAATAAAAATAAAGATATTTGGTTGGAATGAAGTTTGCTGGGCCTACTCTAGGTAGAGTGTTGCTACAGGTGACTTCTTTACCACATTGCCTATTTCCCGAGTCCAAAATTACCTCTAGTTATTATTTGGTGCCCTGTCACCTAACACAGGAGACCGGGAGTTCAACCCATTTAAACTGAGAATTTTCAGCTCCCATCTTGAGTTTTAAGAAGTCTCTGCATATTCATATTATATGTATCTTATAATATATAAATAAATATTAACATAAAATATATGAAATATATAACACATAATATATCTTAACATATGTAAGATATACATTAATTATATTGCCTGAGCATAAGGTCCTAAATGACAACCTATGAGTTTGTTGGGAAAATGAACAAGAATGTAAGCACAAAAGCTTGTATCCTATCAAGTCAGAGTTTTCAATAATTTGGCTGTAATTTCTATCTTTGCACTATTTCTGGAAAATGTTAAAAGCTACATCGGTAGGAAGAGATTAGGAAGAGAAGAGAGGATAAGAAATACTGGACCTGAGTAAGAAGCACAAAATTCATCTCACCATTTAAAACAGGTTGTTTCTCTATCAAACCAAATGTATCATTTATAAACATCATTCTTCAAAGCAGGTTTAAATGACCTTTAATTAACACATTAAGTGAATCCAGTCATTCTCTCCTAAAATCTTACCCAGTTAGAGGGATGAGTGTTTTTAGACTGTTCTCCCAGCTGGTCTGACATCATAAAATTTTGTTATTGTGTTTTCATAGAAAGAAGACATCTGATGGCTTCTCATGTATTTATGGCTGTTTTTCCTTTCCTTTTTTCTTCTTTTGGTTCCTTGCATCTAGTTTACTATTTAGTTTGATGGGAAGTTTTGATTCTGAAATGGTAAGATGTCTGGGGCTCCTGGTGGCAGAAGCAATAGCGGCAATGAGCGTGTCTGTGGTCCCCAGGCACACCCACTGCCACCGCCTTCTTCTTTGTTCCCTAGGGATATCCCGGATGGACGGTCTTTCCTGATTATAGTAATCCAACTTGCACTCAGTGGTGGACAGAGCAGTTCAGTGAATTTCATAAAACTCTCGAGTTTGATGGAGTGTGGATTGTAAGTTGTTATGCCAGAATCAAACTTCTTTTGGAAATGGATAGTCCAAGATTTGAGAATGAGCTTTGACCCTGATCTGTAACAAAATAGTTTTCTTGACAGAGTGGTATTTAATATCCTTTTACTTAATGCGGAGCTTATATGCAGGAAAATAGACCCCCTCAAGACCCCAGATTTTAATTCTGGATCTGCTACCAACTGATTATTTCTTTTTTGAGAAAGTCCTTTAGTTTCCCATGGCCTCAGCTTCTTCTTCCCTTAACTGTCTTTCAACTTAAAAACACTGTTTTATGAGAGGTTGTTGCACCGATCCATTAAAATTTAAAGTTAATCAGAGAATGATTTAATGAACCCCTTTCATTTTTTAGGTGGGGATAGCAGGTGGAGATATTTCTTTGAAATTTGGAAAATTATCTGTTAGCAAGATTAGGCATCACCTATTTTTAATCCATTTTAAAGAGACAGATTTGGTCTCCATTATATCTTCTTGTCCCTCACTGAGTGGAATAAAAAACAGGGGGAAAGTATAAAACAGAAATATCCCTCTGTCTTAGGTTCTTTCGAACAGCACTGAAACATTAACAGCAAAAATAAAACTCACATTATTCATAAGGTAAGAATTAGCTTTTGGAACGGTATCGTTTAATTAGCTAATGGAAATCAATGTATAAAAGGTAAAATGTGCTTGATACCATTTTGGGTTGGAGGGCACCTTAGACACAACCCAATCCGAAAGATGAAACAGAGATCAAGAAAATTTAGGAAGATTACTCAAGATCCCAAAGTCAGTTAGTAAGAGGCCCCAAATGTGGGGCTTCCAGTTGAGTAAACCTTGCCAGAAGACTAACCCTGCATCGGTAACACTTCCCTTTGTGCGTCTTGTGTCTTTGAAGGAAATGGATGAAGTATCCAGCTTTCTCCAAGGTTCTGATAGCGGGTGTGAATGGAACACGTTCAACTTTCCTCCTTTCACTCCCCGTAAGTTGTCTGGAGATACACTTAGAGCAAGCTCAACAGCACTCCGCGTGGCTGAGAACAGTCTCAGTGCAAGGGGCCTGCGGGCACCCTGGCCGCTCCCCTACCCGAGGCCTTGCTGTGCCCATGGGCTCTGGCCACCTTCTGGCCGCCAGAACCCGAGGGCAAGTGTGTGGTGGACGCACGCCTCCCTCAAGGGGCTCTGCATCCTCCCATTCTCTTCGTGGTCTCCAAACCCCTCAGACAAATGGTTCAGTTTTCAACTTTGTGAGAATACCATAATATTTTAAGGTAGAAACTACCTTCCATTGAAGGAACTCTGTAATTTTGTGAACTTTTTTTTTTAGCTCATCAGCCACAATTTAAAGCATCCGTGGTTCCTTTTAGATCCTTCTTATTTTTAAATCTCATTCTTAGTCAGATTTTCCAGTCCTGATTTTGAAAGTATGTATGTGTGTGAAACAGTATCAAATAGATTATGCTGTGGATTAACACAATAAAAATTTATTTTTTGCTCGTATACTGCAGCATGAGATGTGTGGCTCTCATCCAAGCAGTGGCTCAGGGATCTAGTTACTTCCATTGCTTGGTTCTCCCATCTCAGAATCCTTTGTTTCCAGCTTCCTGGGTGAAGGAGAGGGACAGTAGAGAAGTTTTATTGGCAGGCCTAGAAGTGGGGCGTATACAATTTGCTCGCATTTCTTTGCTCAGAGTCCAGTCAATTATTCTCAGTTCAACCTCCAGCGAAAGTGTGAAATATAATCTTAACTCTCCCAGGAAGAGAACACAGCCTTGGTGAGGATCTGACTAGTCTCTGCCAGTTGATTCTGGTTTGTCCACTTCACTTGCACCCTGGACTATGGATGACCTGTTTCTTTAGCTCCTTTTGGTCACTGAAGGAGTGGAGAACTTTTTTAGGAGGAATCTTGGCTTCAAACCATTTAACCTCTTGCAAAATCTGCTGTTTGCTTGTCTGCTTATTCCTCATTCTTCTCTGCTCAGTCTATGACCTCCCCCCATTTTTTTTCCACTGCAGATCAGTTTATTATGTTTCTCTTTTAATCTCTTAATCTTCTTAGTGAGAACTAAGTTTTTGTTTTTTGTTTTTTCTATAGAAAACTGCAATCTCATCTCCTTCTGCCTGCTTCTGGCAAGCACCTCACTCCCCAGCTCCCAACATTTTTGTCGGCCTACCTGTGACAAGCCACTACCTCATAGCTGCTCTGCTTCTCACCTTTTCAGGATTGGACAGTACACATTAGTGTGATAAAGACTTACATAAATTACCTTTGACCCTGGGACAATTTTAGTGTTTTTTTTTCTTATCATTGAAGTGGTTGTGAGTCTCATTCCACAAACCGAGCTGTGCCAAAAATATAAATTTCATGTTTTATCATTCAACTTAATTTCTGATTAAGTTGGGCTGGTGAGATTCTTTTTTTTTAAAAAATATTTTATTTATTTATTTGACATAGAGAGAGAGAGAAAGAGTGAGCACAAGCAGGGGGAGTGGCAGGCAGAGGCAGAGGGAGAAGCAGGATCCCCACAGAGAAGGGGGAGCCCGATGCGGGACTCGATCCCAGGACTCCGGGATCATGACCTGAGCCGAAGGCAGTCGCTTAACCAACTGAGCCACCCAGGCGCCCTGGGCTGGTGAGATTCTGTTGGGCTAGTGGGAAAAAGTCAATGTCAGGGTTTCCTGGTTCCATTACTTTCTGGAACTGTGCTTCATACTGAGGCCCTATGTCCGTGGCAAGGCCTCATGAAGGAGAGCTGATATGGCGCCCCGCCCCATTATTGGTTCATAAGAAGAAAAGGAAAGAACGAGATTCTAGGCTACAAAGCAGAAAATGTTGAGCATTTTTGGCATGAAAAGGGAAAATAACAGTCAGACAATGGTGATTCTAGAAGCAGGATCTGAGTTCTTCTTCATGAAACCACCCAAATGTCATATCTCATTTCTTAAAAAAAAGCATAACGGGTTGAATGCTTATAATGGAAGAATGAAAGTACATCTTTTCCACTGCCCCTCATCTCTGTTCCTTACACACTCAATTCTTCTTGATCAGATATGTGTAGAGAAATGTGGTGCTTTATTTACATTTCATCTCAGGCCAACTTCCCATTGCTCTCCACTCATTTTCCAGTTGTCTCCACTCAGCGCCATGTTTTATGAGCTCTGAGGGAATACACCTTAATTTTAATGATCTATCTCAGAGAGGGGCTTAGTGTGGGTCCCAGGTAGGATGTAGCATTTAGGATAGAGTTTAAAACTGGAAAGGATTTTGTCAGGTGGAGATTGGGTAGGAAGGTGCAGTCACCGGGAAGGGAATAACTGGGTGGTTATTTTGTTAGAGCTGATTGATTGGGAAGTGCGTCACTAATGGCTATTTCCCCACAGGAATTCTGGACCGCTTGCTTTTTGCAAGAACCCTCTGCATGGATGTAGAATTTCAGTGGGGCTTTCACTATGATGTCCATAACTTGTATGGCTACTCCATGGCAAAAGCAACACACTTGTAAGCACTTGGTTTTTGCCCTAATTCCCTTCTGGGGGTGGTGGGAGGCGGAGGGTTTTCTGTATCTTCCATAAGTATGTTTTTCAAATATATTTTGTGGTTCTAAGGATGTACAACTCAGATCTTAGAGGATACTTAAGAGCTCTTCTCATAGAGCCCCTTGGTGCCTGTGTGAGATTAGTTTTGATTGGCTTGTGACTAAGGGACTTCATTAAATACTGGTAGGCAGTAATGTGTGAGGTATTTAGAGCCCTGAGTTGGAAGCCAGCCCTCGCTTAGGTCCTGTTACCAAACCACACTAGGGTTGCCTGATTTGGCAAATAAAAATATAGGACCCAGTTAAATTTGTAGTGTACACACTTATACTAAAAACGATCCATTGTTTAGATGAAATTCAAGTTTGCCTGAGTATCCTTTGTCTACCTGGCAGGGCTACCCACACCACACCCTCCTGGCTTCTCTCCCCACACCCTTCCCCAGGCTCCCTCTCAGTGCTCCTGTCTGCAAACACATGCTTATCTTTAAAGCCTCTTTTCAGATGTTTCTAGAAACCTTCCTGTCAGTTCTAGGAAAAGATTATTTCCCTTTTTTTGTGTTACCTTTGTTTGTATTACAATATGCTCAATATGCAAAAATCTTGTATGATAACATTTAGATAATCCCCCCCTTTTTTCTCTTGCTGGACTGCAAGTTTCTTGAGGGAAAAGTCACCCCTGTAACTTTAGCGTGAGGAATAGTGTATGTACCTGTGTTGGATAGCTGCCTGGCCTGAGGAAGAGACATCAGGAAGGGCCTGCAGGGGGCCTGGTGAATCAGAGGCAGCAACTGCCCCTGCTTTGTTCTCCAGGACCGTTTTGCCCTCCTGACTTTGTATTATGTGAGATTGCCCAGGTGAGAGAGAGAGTCCTCGTCCAATAAATGCAAAAGTTTTGATCTCCATAAAAGGAGCTTCAAGAAGAAGGACACACATTTCTGATTTTGTTGTCCTCTCTTTTATGACCTCTGTCTCTCTCACTCTTCTTTTCCTGGGAAATAAGCTAGAAGAATAAAGCTCAGTTACCTCATCTTTGAAATGAGAGGCTTGGATTAATGTTTCCCACAGTTCCTTCTTGTTCTGATCTATTTCGACTCTAAGATGCTTCTGTCTAAGAACAGAAGGTGGGAGGGAGAGTGGCTACATGCCTGGGGTGAGAAAGGATGGGCAGGAAGAGGGAAAGAGAGTTGTAAATTGCTTCATTGCTAGTGTCACCGTGTAATAAAAGTGCTGTAAGATTGTGCGGGGGTGGTTAATATGTTCTAATAGCTATGATTAATAGTTAAAAGATAACTATGAGGGAGAAGGTTAAGTGCCCTTCTGAGTTCTCTGGATCAGGCAGAATGACCTAAGTCCCCAGAGAACAGTGGGGATAAGTGGAAATTGGCTTTTGGATAGGAGGCAGAGTGGTGAAAAAGCAATTAAGATGTTTTTTGTTCAGTGGGATCTGAGTATCAGCAGCATTTAAGCCATAGATCTGATGAGTATTTGGCTCAGCCTTCCTGGAAGTATCGTTTGGGGGCAGTGGTTACTGGTCTACCCCAAGAAGGAACTTCTCCCTCCAAGCTGAAAGTAGAAAGACCAGATCCCTTCAGAGATCGGGACAGATGATAAGCCTGCCAGAACTGAGGGACAGAAAAGAGAAACTTGAGGGCCTCTGAATAAGATTGTTCCTCTGCTCTGGAAAACACAGACTTAACTAAGCTGTGGTATCATAAAGGTCTGCCTCTAGATAAACCTTTAACCTCAGATAACTTTATCCCCGTTTCAGTTTCACTCTGTACAACCTGAATGTGTTTCTTTCATGGTGGATGATTACAGAGTGCCATAAACCCTCTAGCCAGTGCTAACAAAGGCAAAGCACCTGCTTGTCAAGATCAAAGTAGACATGAGGGTAGGAGGTGAAGAGTGAGTGTTCTTCTCTATGGTACCTTTCTTTTTTGGTCATTAAATCGTCAAAATGGAGGACTTCACTCTTTTAAACCCATATTCTATTTCAGAATTTTCTCCCTTTTGCCATTATAAATCATTTTGCATTTATAGACTTGCCATAAGGTAGTACTCAGGAATATGAAGTTGGGGCGCATTGGTGGCTGGGACAGTGTCTGTGAGGAACTGCCCAGGGCCTGGTGATACACTTGTCTCAGACCCTGTACTGAAAGGGAAAATAGAAGGGTTCGCAGCGATTGTGGTTCAGGTATTACCATACCATAGTTGTGATTTTGTTTATTTTCAGATTGCTAAAGGAAGGTATGAACTGCTTAGCATGGAAGGAGGAGGGAGGGAGAGGCATTTCAGGAAAGTGCCTATGCAAAAGAGTATTCAGAATAAAAGCTAGGAAAATAACTTACATCTCACATCTCTTACATCTCATGTTGTTACCCCACCTCATGTTCCCCTCCATCCTGAAGTAATTATCTTTCTGAATTCCATGTTTTCAGAACCTTTTGCTTTCTCTTTTATAGAGTCTTATTTGATATATGATATTTTGTATGTAGTACAATGAAAATAATATTTTATATTTTAATTGCATTTGACTTTATAAAGAGCATCATAGGTCATCTTTTGAGACTTATTCATTAAAGTTAATATTATTTTGCATAAATTAAGATTTCCTAACATTGGGAATTGCTAATAATAAATTCTGAAGCTTTAGAGGAACCCAGCTGCCTAGAACCCAGCTGGTGTACCAACTGTTCTTATAGGGCCAGCAGAGGCTGAGTTCCAACCTGAGCTGGTGCTGTGTTAAACAGGATTGATTATAAAGGGGCAGCAAGACATGGAAACAAGGGACATTGGAAAAGCTTTGTCTAGAGGGAGAAGATGGGGTCAAGAACTCAAGACATGGCTCCAATGTATTGTTGACCAAAAGGGCCGGAACACAACTGATCCAACAAGAGAAAGAGCATAATCAAGAGGACGGGAGTGTAGAGACATTTCTTGGGGGACTGGACTGTAGATGTTTGGACTGTCATCTATGAAGTCTGAAGCCTTATTCAGAAAGGGGAAAGAAGTTCTTAAAAATGCTAAACTGGGTGATGGGCATTGAGAACATGATGTAATGAGCACTGGGTGCTTTGTGCAACTGATGAATAACTAAACTCTACAATCTGAAACTAATGATACACTATATATTAATTAATTGAGTTTAAATAAAATAATAAAAAAATGCTAAACTAGTTTGCTCACCTAGTTTATGAAGCCATGTTGTTTTATTCTGTTTGGTTGGAACGCCCATTACCCCTCTTGGGTACAGGTGAGTCCTAGACATTCACAGCTCACTTCACATTCAATTTATTGTATTCCTTTTCAGGGCCATGGAGAATATCTTCCCCAATAAAAGTAGCTTCATCTTATCCCGCTCTACTTTTGCTGGATCTGGCAAATATGCTGCACATTGGTTGGGGGAAAATTCGGCCACATGGGATGACCTCCGATGGTCCATCCCTAGTATCCTTGAGTTCAGCCTATTTGGTATCCCCATGGTGAGTTTTACTCTCAACCAAGGAACCTTAACCTTCTTCCTTTGGCATTATTTCCTTTGCTAGTCTTTGAGGTGTTAAAAACCAAGGGGCATTTATGTCTCCCTGTGGTATGTATTAGAAAATCCATTTTTATATGTGGCATGAACTGTCTTTTGAAGATAGAATGGTAAAGTTTTATCATTGGGTAGTCATCCATGGAATCTTTGAAGTTAGCACAGCGACACCGTAAGTAAAATATGTTGGCATCACAGAAAATTCCATTAACAAAGCATCAGTAAATAGCAAAGTATGAAATTGGGAATTGAACATTGAAATGAGTTCTTGTCAGCTGATTCATCATGTACATTTGCTAATTTCTTACATTTGGCTGGGGGCTGACTCTGAAAGCCTGGGACCTCTGTAAGCATGGAATGGTGGAAGTAAGATTTTTTCCCCCCTTACTACACAGGTATCCAGTCAATGCTTTCCCCACTATCACTGACCACTGTGTTTGTATTATGTGCTAATTCTCCAGGTAGGTGCCAACATCTGTGGTTACACAGAAAATGTCACAGAGGAGCTCTGCACAAGATGGATGCAGCTTGGAGCATTTTATCCACTATCAAGGAATCACAATGGGCCTGGATTCAGGGTAAGGTCCCCAAGAAAAGCAATAGAAACTTCTTGAATTCTCTAATCTACTTGTTCTCAAAAAGGATTGAAAAAAAAAATCCTACAACTTGGCCATTAGAGCAGAAGGAGAATAGATGAATTTTGGGCCATAGACCTAAAGAGCAGAGTATTGGGATAAGGGTTCATGGCAAGTATGTACATATTGAATGATTTTTATTGTATTTTATATTGATTTATATTGATTTTCTTAATTCATCAATGAAGGTGAGAAGGGTTGTTAGACTTTCTATGGTGCTGCTGTCACTTACTTCTGTTACCTCCTGTATAAGATGGGACAGTTGGAGTCCACTGGTATTTTACCTCAAACAGTAAAGGGAAACCACCTCTAGATATGGAGGAGCAAGGTGGGATGGTTTAGGGAGTGGCAGACCAGTGATCTGAAGATTTTTTTTTCCCCTATTGATAATCAGTAAGGCTCACAGGGAGAGGATCAAAAGCATTTAGCATTGGCCTGCTTCCTATCCTCTCTCCCTGTTCCTCTCCCCACTCCTGCATTGAAAAGTGATTTAATCCAAACCCCCAGGTGCTAAGAATAGAATGCTTTTAAGGAGCTCGCTCAGCCAGTTTGCCCTGCCCTCTGTCACCTATGACCTATGCCCTCTGGCCCCAGCGGCTGGACCTCTCATGACCCCACCTCTGACTTCAGCAGCCAAGTATGAATGCAAAGAAAGAGCAAAGCCCAGAGAAGGGAGTCTCTGGCCTGACGCTGCCGCCGGGCTCCTTGCTGGGTTAGGATGGAGCTCCTAACTTTTCCCAGCTGAAGAGATGATCCTTCGTTATCTTTTCCCAATCCTGCCCCTCCTGTAGCATAAAAGAAATGCACTATTAAACAGAGTAGTTTTTTTAGAAGGAGAGATTGAGTGTGTTTTTGTGCAGGAGCCAAATTTATTTCAATTAAAATAGGAAACCGTGTTTGTTACAACATTCTATCTTTCCATGAATGATTTGCGAGACCCTGCCCTCCTCACTACTTTTCACTCTTTTGTCCTTTCCTATCCAAAATCATGTTTTTGATGGGTGAGTATATAGAAGTGGGCTCAGAGCCCCTCTTAAGGAGATGTCTGGGACAATAGCAGGAGCAAGTAATAAGGAATGTCCTTTATCTTAATGAAGTAATCTGCACTTGAAGTGTTTCAAAATTGAGTAGGTTAGCTCTTAATAGGCTCAACAAGGTAACTTACTGATGATCATTTTAGCTGCCATTCTTGACTTTGTCTCTAACTTGGGAAAGATTCACAGCCAAATCATCAAAGTATTTTAGCCCCAGACCGTCCTAGCCATTTGCGATCTGGAGAGATTTATTTCTGAACTTCGAAGCAGGTGGCTGGGAGCGGGTTTGGCAGGTTGCCTTTCTCTTGAGATGGCCTGGAAGGAGTTAGCTAAGAGCACTCAGATCACTTAGGCTGCTCAGTTACAGTGCTTGTTTTCCGGTCCCTCCACGAGGGCTATACAATAGAATGATAGTGAGAGCCACACATTAAATTTAAATGTAAATTTAAAAAGTAAAAAAACACAGAAACAATCATTTTAAATATATTTTGTGTAACTCAGTATGTCCATAACATCATCATTTCAACCTGTTTGATACAAAATATGATCAATGAGATATCTTGTATTTTTTTTTAAGTCTTCAAAATTCAAGTGCATTTTACACTTACAGCAGATCTTAGTTTGGATGCTAAATTTTCAGCAGTTGGAGTGCAATAAACCAAAACAATAAAGTTATATTTAATGGAAAAATCTTTTATTTAAAAATATTTTTAGTTTTCATTTTATTTAAAAAATAGTTCTTTAAAAATATTCAGTTTTTAGGATTATATTGAAATTAACTAAAGTCAAGTAAAATTAAAAGTTCAGTTCCTCAGTCTTACTAACTACATCTCAAGCGTTCAAAAGCTCCCCGTGGTGTGTGGCCACCATAGTGGACAGTGCAGCTCTACACATTCTTGGCTGGAGACCCGAGTGATGAAGGATGTGGAGTGTTATTTTCATTGGTGTCTGGCCTCAGGGTTTTCATGAGCCCTACACTGGGGGCATAGAGTGGTCTCCCGGAGTAGACCACTCTACTTTCTATTCCTTTTGAAGGGAGGAAATGAGCATCTTTAGGAACAAAAGAAAGGAATAAGTTTAAGTAATTTTCTCTGAAATTCAGTCCCAGTAATAGAGTACAGGATTACAGATCTCAGTATGACATACATTATCTTTCACATCTTACAAATTACAAGGAAAATGAACAAAATGAGCCCCATCATTAATGGAAAAGTTCTGTTTCTGGGTCCTAAGAAAATTAGATTTCCCTTCTAAAGGGTTCTTTCTTTGCTCTTGGATAAAGTCATTATTTTTTTGCACATTATATATTGAAGAAAAAATAGAGGTCACTGTCTTTGGGGTAGAGAAAAGAAAACAAATATCGATGGTGAAAACATTACAGACAAAACTAGATGTAAATTTTAAAATTGCAAATTCATAAAATTGCATGGAAAGGAAAAGACGGAGTATAGATTATGGTGGTAGGCAATGCAGCCTAAGGCAGTGGGTTTCAAATTCAAAATCTTTTTACCGGTTGTACAACTTATTGCTATTATTATTATTAGCCAAATGAAGTATTATGAGAAGCCTCAATATATAACAAATTAGATCAGCTAAGAAGGGAGCAGGGGTCACTGTAGCCCCTTTATCTCCATGGCAACCTCCTGGGCTTTTTTTTTTTTTTAATTGATTTATTTATTTTTGAGAGAGGACAGGTGTGGGGAAGCGTGTGTGAGAGGGGCAGAGGAAGAAGGAGAGAGAATCCCAAGCAGTCTCTGCACTGAGTGCAGAGCCCACCTCGGGGCTTGATCTCATGACCCTGAGAGCATGATCAGAGCCCATACCAAAAGTCGGATGTTTAACCGACTGCACCGCCCAGGCGCCCCACTCTGTGGACTTCTTTATCACCCTTGAGGTTATCATAGACTGGGATCAGAAGACACATGTCAAATTTAAACTCTGTCACCTGCTTGCAGTTTACATTGGGAGAGTCATGTAATTTTTGATACTGTTTTTTCATCTATAAAATCAAGAAACCATACCAAGATCCTTTTAGTTTTGGAAATGCTTTGATATCTTCCAAGTTGGAGAACAAGCTACTTTCATCTGAGAAAGCTTCTTATCGTAAGGGAACACACTTTTAAAACGCTATGGAAATATCTCAGATTTGTTTCATTTTCTTCTAGGACCAGGATCCTGCCGCCTTTGGTAAACACTCTCTGTTGGTGAATTCTTCCAGATATTATCTGAACATCCGATACACCTTGCTGCCCTACCTCTACACCCTTTTCTACCGAGCTCACACACGGGGGGACACCGTAGCGAGACCCCTGGTCCATGAGTGAGTTTCCTGACCCACAAAGAATCCCTTTTAGGTTGTTCATTTCACTTGCCTTGTTAGTAGTAACAAGGTTAGTGTGGATCTTGTTGCCACCTAATGTGTGCTTGCCTTGTACTGGAGGCTTCATCTGCCTTCTCTGGTTTTCAGGTTCTACCAGGACCCAGCTACTTGGGATGTGCACGAGCAGTTCTTATGGGGGCCTGGACTCCTCATCACACCTGTTTTATATGAGGTGTGTTTCTAATCCGGACAATGGGGTAGAATATCTCACTTGTTCTCGTGGCTCTATAGCTGAATAAGCTGAGTCTGGAGTATCTATGGCTGCATTTGAATATGAATATGAATATAAATATAAATATGGGGTGCCTGCGAGGCTCAGTCACTAAGTGTCTGCCTTCAGCTCAGGTCTTGATCCCAGGGTCCTGGGATCAAGCCCCACATCGGGCTCCCTACTCAGTGGGGAGCCTGCTTCTCCCTCTGCCCCTCACCCTGCTCATGCTTTCTATCTCTTTCTCTCTCTCTCTCTCTCTCTCTCAAATAAATAAATAAATAAATAAAATCTTTTAAAAAATATAAATATGAATGATGAGAGAGAGAGAGATCATGAAAGTTTGGAAATTAGAGAAGTAGTAATTTTTGGTCCCACTGCCCCACCAAGCAAAACAATTTCTGTTTTTGCAAAATTACCTTAAAACTTGTTTTCTTAAGCATATGACCATAGACTGAGAGGCTTTAAATGCCTTGTGAGTTTGGGCTGGCTATCTCTCTGTGCTTCCTTTTGACCAGAGGACATGGGCTCTTGGGGTGGGGCTGGGAAAAGAGAAGAGGTAAGAGAGGAGTAGGGAGGGAGGTCTGGGCAAGGGGGAGGGCGTTACTCAGGAGACCAGATAGGAAGGACCACATGTGCCCTCCCAAAGGGCGAGTGGAGAAGTGTGGGAGAGGGATTGCGATGCGGCTGATCACTTTAGCAACATGGGGCATCGCCAGCGTACTCACGTCGAAGTCCCAACTCTTGGCAGCTGCTGCGAGCAGCAGTGGGCCTGCTGCAAGGCTCTCCTTAGAGGCCTGGCTGTTTCAGTCTCCTCCCACCTGTCAGATTACGCAAGTAGCCCGGTGAACGAACCTTCTCTGCTTCTCTTAGAAAGTTCGGGAGCCTCGAAACTTAATTCCTAGCCACAGCTGTGCTTTGGGTAAACTGCCCAACTTTTCTGAGTATCTGTGTTTATACCTGTAGAATGGGATGGTCCTAACCACCTCTCAGGATTGTTCAGCTGAGCACGTGCAACCACACAGGAGGTGCTGTGGAAACTGTAAGGGGCATGCTGATGTTGTTCAATATTGGTGTTTCCCTAGAGTGTGGACCGCGTGAAAGCATACATACCGGACGCCATCTGGTACGACTACGAGACAGTAAGTAAGGCAGCCCTGCTTGGGTCAGAGACCAGCCGCTAGCAGAGGGCAATTCTAAGGCAGGAGTCCTGGGAGCTTGGGGTAGGATAATAGCGCAACGTTTTATATTTGGTTGATAGAGGGTACTTTTCTGTAAGGAAGGCCTTTCTAGGTGTACTATGAAATAATTTGCATAACTGGGATAGGTTTAGGGGAATTTTCATTGTATCAGCCTGGCTACTGTGCAGCTATGAGGACTAGTTATTGGCCTTAGTCTGGGATACCCTAGTGAGTGAAAGCCCAGTTGTGGAAGAATCACCACACGGTGTAATTCAAAGAAATAGGCAGGTTGGAGTCTCAGATCTGCTATCTATTTCGATTATGCCTTGGGCGACCCTTCGCTTTTGGGGGTCCCTGCTTTTCTTTCTTTCTTTTTTTTTTTCAAGTTTTTATTTAAATTCCAGTTAGTTACAATATAGTATGTTAGTTTCAGGAGCAGAATTTAGTGATTCATCACTTACGTACAACACCCGGTGCTCATCACAAGTGCCCTCCTTAATGCCCAACGCCCATTTAACCCATTCCCCCACCATCTCCCCTCCAGCAACTCTTAGTGTGTTCTCTGTGGTTAAGAGTCTGTTTTATGGTTTGCCTCTCTCTTTTTTACCCCTATGTTCATCTGTTTTGTTTCTTAAATTCCACATATGGGTGAAATCATACAGCATTTGTCTTGCTCTGACGGACATATTTTAAATGAGGCAACTGAACTAGAATGATCTGCACGGTCGCTCCTAGTTCAGTGGTCCCTTATCTGCTCTGTCATCCTTGTGTTGGTTAGGGGGTAGCCATCCAGTGGAGGAAACAATCGGTGGAGATGCTGCTGCCACTCGATAGGATAGGACTTCACCTCCGAGGGGGCTTCATATTTCCCACCCAACAACCCAACATAACCACAGAGGCCAGGTAAACTCCTCACTCTTCTAAGGCGTGACTGCCCTGGGGCTCCAAGGGAGGGTGTTATGGGACAGGCAAATGGACACTAAAAGTGGTTAAGTCAAGGGAAAACATCTCCAGTCAGGAATCTCTCTCCCCTGCTTTCAAGGTCAGCCCCAAAGTGGTACCTTCGTGTTCATTTAGCATAAGGTGGCCTCAGCTCCTTCACATTTCTAGAGTCTTTCACTTGGGAAGTGAATCAGATTTTAAGAACAGTCAAAATAATCATTTGTAAGGATTTCTCTATGACCAGAGACTGTCTTCAAGTAGATTTTCTTGGGCATGAGAGAATTCAAGTTAAATAAGAGGTAAGAGTTATCACAAGGAAGTGAACATAGCTTCCAAGGTCAAGAGCCAGAATGTTCAGGTAGACACCCCAGCTCTATCACTACCATGCGTTGCCATGGGCAACGTCCTCTCTGTGTTGCTGCTTAGCATGAGCAAACTGGGGATGACAATAGTTGGACTTTTTCGTGTCATCAGGCAGGTTAAATGGAATAATAGACATGACTTACTGTACATAGGACGCTTAGAAGAATGGCTGGCACATGGTAAGCGCCCAGTAAGTGCTGATTGTTACTAGTATCACAAACCCAGTCTTTGGCAGGAACTGCCTCCTTCTATCATTCTTCCTATGGTCATTCATTACCAACCTCTGCTGTCTATCCACACCCAATATCCATGTTTCCATAGGATGTCAATATCTACTCTATTTCTGGGGTCAACTCTGAGTTCATCTGTCCCTGAGGCATGAAAGGGGCTAGTTGAACAAAGTTCTAAGCTTTCTTCATTCTCTGAAACTGAGAGTTGCTCTTTTACAGTCGAAAGAATTCCCTGGGACTCATTGTTGCCTTGGACTACGAGAGAGAGGCAAAGGGCGAGCTGTACTGGGATGATGGTGTATCTAAAGGTAGGCTTCCCTGTGACCCCCCCCTCCCTAGGGTTCTCAGTGGGAACTAGTCATTGCAGGCTGTCCAGTATGGCACTAACCCTGTTATCATCGGTGCTGATTTCTGTAAGCTTAGAATCAATTTATTCCGGAAGTTTGGTTAGCCAAGCACAACGCATTAAAACAGACTTCAGATGAGCAACTCGTATGTTATTGACTACCAAAGCAACAGACATTATTGGGTTTAGTTTAATTACTCTCTTCTTTGGGTATCATTACCAATACCAAATAACACATTTTTGTTAATAGATTTGTAAAATACTGCTTTGGTTACTGTTGAGGGGGGAGTATCTAATTTGTATAGTATGCTTTTCCACTGTAAGATTCCTGTAGAAGTAACTGACATAAGCTTATGGTCTGTGATTATAAAAAAAAAAAAAAAAAACAACCCTGCCCTGCGTAGAATTAGCATTTATTGGATGTTTATTATTGCACTGTAGGCAGAGGATATGAAGATGAATAAGACATAGGTATTAGGCATTGCCCCTGAGGAACTCCTGGTCCAGCAGGATAGATAAAATATACATGTGGATGCCCTATAAGTGCAAGTCACAATGTTTTAAATGCCAGCAAAATGGTACCACAAAGTGCCATAGGAGTTTGGAGGGCGGAGCAGTTAGGGTTGGTTGAAGCGGCCCAGGAAACTTGGTGGAGGTTTGGCAAAAAGGGGCAGAATCTGGGAAAGCAGAGAAAAAGAAGAGAAGAGCATGACCGCACAGCTCCTCTGCTTCCTATAATAATGGGCACTCCTCTATCTTTCTCTTCTAGATGCTGAAAAGAAGTATATTCTGTATGATTTTTCTGTCACCTCTGTAAGTACTGTTTTTGAGGAACACACAGTGTATGCTCTTTTCTGTGGTGGTGTTTTGAGTTTTTGGTTTGCTATAATGCTTGGTCATGTGGAACAGGGGCCGTGCCTAATGGCCCCAGAAAGGACTAGAGTTAAAACGAGAGTTTTTAATCTATGTTAGATATATAAACCTCTCAAGTCAGTATGGCTTCAGTGAAGAACTTGTTTTTTTTTTCTGGAAAAAAAAAAATCATTGTCTCTGAGCTTGATATGAATCCTGGCTTCTGAGATGTGTCCTTGGCAGGGGGCTGGGGAGTGGGGTACAGGTATGTGTGGGATGGGGGGGTGATGAGTGGTATGGGGCCTTTATGAGGTTCTTCCATAATGGCCTTCTTTCCCAGCCCCCAAAACTTTGCCTTGGACACAGGTATTAAGTGGTGGTTTTGAGATGTTGGAAGATACGGAAAGATACAGAACAACACTTGCCTCGTCTCTCTCTCTGGGGCCCCGAGGGGAAGGAAGGCAGTAATGCTAGCAGATGTTGTGAGAATTCTAATTTGATTTTCTTAGAAGGCTCATGGTGCATGGGTGGGGATTGGTGGGGTATCAAGGAAGAATGAAGAATAAGAAAACATGTTGTTTTTTAATCTATTCTTTTTATTTTGAGATCATTATGGAGCGCCATGCAGTTGTAAGAAATAATGCAGAGAGTTTCCCTTGTGCCCTTTACCCAGTTTCCCCTCATGGGAACATCTTGTCCTTTCAAGAATGTGATGTAGGTGGAATCATACAGCATGTAAGCTTGGAATTGGCTTTTTTCCCTCAGCAAAATTCTCTCAAAATTCATCAAGTTGTTGTATATTAAAAGTCTATTCATTTCTGTTGCTGACTAGCATTCCAAGATACAGATGTCGACCTTTTGTTTAACCATTCATTTAATAAAGAGTATCTGGGTTATTCCAGTCATAGCTATTACAAATAGAGCTGCTGTGAACATTCATGGATAGGTTTCCATCTGTCGGGGACAGACGCCCAAGAGTGCAGTTGCTGTGTCTTACAGTATTTGCATGTTTAGTTTTGTGAGGAACTGCCAAGCTGGTTTTTAGAGTACCATTCTGCATTCCCGCCAGCAATGTTTGAGTACCCCCGTTTCTCTGCATCATAACCAACATTTATGTTGTCACAATTTTTTTTTTTTTAATTTTAGCTCTTCTGATAAGGGTGTAATGACCCGTTATTGTGGTTTCAGTTTGTATTTCTTTGATGTTTAATGATGTTGACTATCTTTTCATTTGCCATCTGTGTATATTTATATTCTCTTAGGTGAAATGTCTGTCCAGTTCTGCCCATTTTCTCATTGACTGGCTGATTTTTCTGTTCGGTTTTGAAAGTTCTTTATACATTCTAGAGAGGACTTCTTTGTTGGATACATGGTGGGTAAATATTCTCTATTAGTCTGTAGGCATGTCTTTTCATTCGTTTAACAGAGCCTTTCACAGAGCAAAAGTTTTAAATTTTGATGGGTCTAATTTATCATTTCTTTTCTTTTACGGATTATGTTTTTTGGTGTCCACTGTAAGGACTCTTTCTATTTCTAGGTCTTGAATATTTTTCTCCTATTTTTTCCCTAAAAATTTTAGTTTTTCCTTTTACATTTAAGTCTGTGATCTGCTTTGAGTTCACTTTTATACACGATGTGAGATTGAGGCGCAGGTTTTACTTTTGGCCTCGGGATGGCCAACTGTCCCAGCACCACTTGTTGAAGACTCTTTGTTCTCCACTACATAACTTTTGCACCTTTGCAAAAAATCACTTGGGCACGCTTGTGGGTCCCTTAATCTTTTTATTTTTTTATTATTTTATTTTATTTTATTATGTTATGTTAGTCACCATACAATGTATCATTAGTTTTTGATGTGGTGATCCGCGATCCATTGTTCTCGTATAACACCCAGTGCTCCATGCAGTATGTGCCCTCAATACCCATCACCAGGCCAACCCGTCCCCCCTCCCGCTCCCCTCTAGAACCCTCAGTTTGCTTTCTCGGAGTCCGTAGTCTCTCATGGTTCGTCTCCCCCTCCGATTCCCCCTCTTCATTCTTCCCTTCTTTCCCCTAATGTCCTCCGTACTATTCCTGATGTTCCACAAATAAGTGAAACCATATGATAATTGACTTTCTCTGCTTGACTTATTTCACTTAGCGTAATCCCCTCCAGTCCCATCCATGTTGAGGTAAAAGCTGGGTATGCATCCTTTCTGATGGCTGAGTAATATTCCATTGTCTATATGGACCACATCTTCTTTATCCATTCATCTGGTGAAGGGCATCTCGGCTCTTTCCACAGTTTGGCTATTGTGGACATTGCTGCTATGAACATTGGGGTGCATATGGCCTTCTTTTCACTACATCTGTGTCTTTGGGGTAAATACCCAGGAGTGCAATTGCTGGGTCATAGGGTAGCTCTATTTTTAATTTTTTGAGGCATCTCCACACTGTTTTCCAAAGTGGCTGCACCAACTTGCATTCCCACCAACAGTGTAAGAGGGTTCCCCTTTCTCCACGACCGCTCCAACATTTGTTGTTTCTTGCCTTGTCAATTTTTGCCATTCTAACTGGTGTAAGGTGGTATCTCAGTGTGGTTTTGATTTGAATTTCCTTGATGGCTGATGATGACCACTTTTTCATGTGTCTGTTAGCCATTTGTATGTCTTCTTCAGAGAAGTGTCTGTTCATGTCTTCTGCCCATTTGTTGACTGGATTATTTGTTTTTTGGGTGTTGAGTTTGAGAAGTTCTTTATTGATCTTGGATACCGGCCCTTTATCTGTTAGTGTCATTTGCAAATATCTTCTCCCATTCTGTGGGTTGCCTCTTTGTTTTGTTGACTGTTTCCTTTGATGTGCAGTTTTTATCTTGATGAAGTCCCAAAAGCTCATTTTTGGTTTTGTTTCACTAGCCTTTGGAGACGTATCTTGAAAGAAGTTGCCGTGGCCAATGTCAAAGAGGTTACTGCCTATGTTCTCCTCTAGGATTTTGATGGATTCCTGTCTCACATTGAGGTCTTTCATCCATTTTGAGTTTATCTTTGTGTATGGTGTTAGAGAATGGTCGAGTTTCATTCTTCTGCATGTGGCTGTCCAATTTTCCCAGCACTGGGAAAAAAAATAAAAGAGAGAGAGACTGTCTTTTTAAACATCAAAGTGTCCCCCGCTTTTTTTTTTTTTTCTCTCCAGTCTTCAGTTCCACCTTGGTCAGAGCTACACTTCATCACTTTTGAACTGTGGTTCCCTGGGAAGGTTGTCTGCTTCCCTGGGGCTTCAGTCTTCTTGTCTCAAGAATGGGCTCATTGTAGTTTCAGCCTTACAACTTGCTGTCGGAATGGAACAAGATGCTTAGCACCATGCCTGGCACGGAGTAAACACTCATAAATTTTAGCTCCTATCCTCATTATCATTAAAAGAAAAAAAAATATTTAGGCACTCTGTGTGTGTGTCTTCATCTCTGTATGCCAGTGGGTCTGTGTGTGTGCTGGTGTCTTTTTGTTTGTTTTAAGAGTACCCATTTTGTCCACTTGGAAATCCTGTGATGTCAGGAACATATTTCCTGAGTGATGGAATCAATAAATAACCAGTGAACCAAAGCAAACGTGAAATGTTACTGCAAGATTGAAGACCATGAAGAGTCTGGGTTAGCAAATTCCCTGGGGACGATCACCAGGCACCCGTTAGAACTTCAGAGATAAAAGACATACCTCAGATGTCAGAAAGCAAAATGTTGAGGGGTATTTGGTGATGTACCTGGTTTCTAAACAGATGTTTTTGTGGTTTTGTTTTTCCAGAACCGTCTACAGGCAAATATTATAAATAATAACTATACGGACCCTAACAACCTCATGTTTACAGACATCATAATCTTGGGAATGGACAAGCAACCTACCAATTTTACCGTCTTACTTAGTAATTCTGCCACCTCCATTTCAAATGTTGCCTACGATGTTTCATCAAAGGTGGGCGACTGTTCCATCCTTGGGGTGCCCTTGTCAAAAGCCCTGGGCTAAGATTCTGACAGCCAGCTCTCCCTTGCTCTTTTGACTTTGGGCAGTTACAGAGACAGCTGGCTTGCTGAAAATCTACCATACCACAGGGCAGTTGCAGAAGGAGAAACATATGCATGCTAAATATGGACTCCTGAGCTTGGTTTGTATCAGAACACTGAAGAAGACAGTGGGAGCTGGGACCCTGAGGCAAGGCAGTTCTTCTCTGGGCAGATTTAAGACTAGACCTGCAGATTCCAGATGTGATACAGTGAAAATATAATTCAATACATTGGCCTAGTTCTGGAGAGTATTTAAGTTTCTCATTTAAGTTAAAGACTCTCTTTGTTTTAGACACAATTGACACACTACTTTTATACCATTACAGAAAAGGAGAGTTGGATAGAACATTAGGGGTAATTCAGTTCTGCCCTTACTGAATGAGTCCCTTACATGCTAATCTTCAACAAAAGGTTCCAATGGTTAGTTGACTATTTCAAGTGCTGGGAAATTCACTATCTCTTAGGGCAGCCCCGTTCCATTTTGACAATGCAGATAGCAAAAAATAAGAGCCTGGTTTCTGTACTAAGCAGAACGGGATTCCGGTCCTAGCTCTGTTGTTTCCTAGCTGCGAGATCTTGGGCAAAGCATTAAACCTCTCTAACCCTCAGTTTTCTATTTTGTGAAATGAAGATAGCCATATCATTTGCAGCATAGGATTACCTTCGAGGATTGTTGGAGATAATGCATATAAAGTGGTTATCACAGTGCTTGGCCCATATAAATGCTCCATAAAGTTTAACTGTGGTTATTATTGCCATCATTATTACAATGTGTGAGCACCACACCCAGAGGGCTGTGAGTCTGACAAAGACAGCCCTGCTTGTGATCTGTACTCCTTCATATGATGAAAGCCCTTCCCATTCAATATTCCACAGTGACTCCATGAGGTGAGAAAGGTCAGGAATAAGCCAAGTGCATTTTCCCAACAGGGAGGTCAAAAGCTCCAGAGGATAAAAAAGAATATTCCAAATATCCCATGACAACGTGGATGAAGGGCTAACTCCCTTCCAGATCATCAGGGAAGGACGTTAGCCGGGTGGCTCAGCCTCACCTTATTTGTCATGTGGCCTCTCCTTCCTCAGGTGGTGAAGATCAGTGATCTCAAGGGACTGGTACTCGGTCAAGAATTCTCCATTGAATGGAAACTTCCAGTCAGTGACCTGGAGAAATTCAAATGCTACCCTGAGGATGCTGCTGTCTCTGAGGAGAGTTGTAGGCTGCAGGGGTGCCTTTGGGAGGTAATAATCAGTGAACAGATTACCACAGTGAGCAGAAGTTGGAAAAACTGTCCCATGAATAATTAGGCACCTAGAAAACACTTCCCAAATGTTGCTGGGTTGAAGAGTAATCATCCTTCAGAAAGACAATGACACTATGTCAACTGATAAATTATTTTGCCAATTCTGTGTGAGAAGTGATCAGTGTTTTCCTCAGATGTCCCGAATCAGAAGACACTCTCTCTTTCCTCCAACCACAGCATTTAAAACCCCACTTTTATTTTTAACACAACAATAATATATTGGGTATGCATTGTGCATTGAGTATTTTAAGTGAGGTGTTTTTTGTTTTTTTTTCCATCTATTAGAGAGTCCTTGTGGAAGGTAAGGTAAGACTGTCTTCATTTGGAAAAATAGAATGAAAGCCAGAGAGATTTCCTCAAGGTCACAATGGCAGCAATGAGAACACTGGAGCAGAAGCCCGTCTGAGGATTCCAGTCTCCAGATCAGGCTTACTGCTGACCCTTCCTTGTCCACCCAGTAGAGGAGGCCAATGGGCATGTGTTTTTTAAATGGATTTAAATCATTTGCTGGTGCTGTCATAACAAAGTACCACAAACTAGGTGACTTAGAACAACAGAAATTTGTTATCTCAGAGTTCTGGGAGCTGGAAGTCTGCCATCAAGGTGTCAGCAGAGTTGGTTCCTTCTAAGAAAAGGGAGGGAGAATCTGTCTCATGCATTTCTCCCAGATTCTGGAGGTTCTCTGGCACTTATTGGTCTTGCTTGGTTTATAAAAACATCACCCCGATCTCTGCCTTCATCCTCACATGGCGACCTCACTGGGTGCAGGTTTGTCTCTATGTCTAAATTTCCCCTTTTAATGAGGACACCGGTCATATTGGGTTAGGCTGATCTTAATGATCTCATTGAACCTGATCATCTGTAAAGACCCTATTTCCAAATGAGGTCACTTTCACAGATACCAGAGTAGGACTTCTCATCTTATGGTGGGGGGGATCATAATTCAAGCGGTAATAATGGTCACGGTGTAAGAGACTTAGTTTGTGTGAACCAACTTCTTCAGGAATCAGACCCTCGAAGTATGGTGTTAGAGGCTGATGGAGAATTTCTCCTCTTGTTCTAGTACACAGCTGTTCCTGGCGTGCCCACCTGTTACTATGACACCATCCCTAGGTATGCCGCCAGTAACATTCAGTACCTGCCTACGGGCATCACCACAGACCTTGCCCACCTGGGGGCCCCGGAATCAGCCCGAGCAGCCCCTGCCTCTGGCTCTCTCTCTGCAACAATCAGCTTCCTCCAGCTGAGCGTGATCTACCACACAGAAAACATGCTGCAGTTCAAGGTAATTTCCAAGGTGGTACAGGTTCTGATCCTCAACACAGAGTTCTTACAGCTTCATGTGGATGAAAGTCATTGAAACACCATTGGTCCAAATCCATCATTTTATGGACAAAGGCACCATGGCCCAGACAGGTAAAAATCAGAGACTTAGGAGCGTGGTAGAACCAGGATGTGACCTTGGACCCTCCAGGGTTGTGAATGTCCTGCACTGCCAAGTGCTCAGTCATAAGTGTCCTCAAAGAACCCCTTCTTAGCCCTATGAAAAACTGTGTCTGCTCCATGGGAAACTCATACAACGCATTGACCCACTTCCAATGTTAGAGTTACTTCTCTAGCAGTGGTTCTTAAACTTCAGAGAGCACCAGAATCACCCACAGGTCTCCTTAAAGTTCAGATTGCTGGGCCTCTGCTCTGGAGTTTCCAGTCTGAGAGTCTGCATCCCTAACACGTTTCCAGGTGATGCCGATGCTGCTGTGGGTCAAGGGGCCACTCTTTGAGACCCACAGCTCTGCCCTGAGGGAAGTACAACGTGAACCACATGTATTTCCTAATAGCCACACTCCTAAAAATGTATTTGAAAATAATCAAATGCAATGCATTTTAATAGCATTTTATTTAACCAACATGCTGAAATATTATCTCACCACATAATCCAAATACAGTTATTGAGATATTTTAGAATCTTTTAGTCATACTAACTCTTCAAATTTTGGTGTGCAGTTTGCACTTATAAGAAGTCTCAATTCAGATTAGCACCTTTAGAGCATTTAATGGCCACAGGTATCTGGTGGGTCCACTGCTGGGTGAGTTAGAGACAGAGACTACAGTAGGTGGAGCTGCCTCACAAGGTCATTTTCATGTGTACCAATAAGGAGATTTCAGGGAATGATTTCCAAAGCCAGTGACTCCCCAACAGGGGTAAACAGACTCCTTTTGTTAGGGCTTGGGATGAATATCAGAAGGGGGTTTTAACATTATAATGAAGCTGAGGTAATTGTGCCTGCACTTTCTGATTCATCTACACAGACCTCTCCTCAAATGTTTCTTTTCCTGTTCCAGTAATTCCATAGTTAGTTTCTAAAAGAAAAAGAGTTACGCAGAAGCTTCTAGGAGTTTCCTGAGTTCAGGGGGTCAGCCTTGAATTCAGGGGGTCACGGGGGTCTCACCACTGACAATACCACCTCTACAACCCAGCTCTAAACGTTGTTTTTCACACTGTGTTGGAGGCATCACTCAGGAGATCTTGTGAAAATGAAAATTCAGATTCAGAAGGTGGAGGGGAGGGAGGCCTGAGATTTTGCATTCCTAACAAGCCTCCAGGTTATACTGCTGTGTTGGGTCTGAGAAACACGATTTTAAGAAGCAGGGCTACGGGCAAAACTTGTCTTAAGCATCTGAAAGCTCAACCAGTAAGATCTGAGTCCATATAAAAACTTGGTTCTCTAATTTCTGACATATACATACATGCCCAAAACATAATCTTAACACAATTACGTGCATGTACATATTCACGTACTCATAAACACACACGCGTGCACACACACACATTCTATCCATGGAATTCTATACACTGAATTCATAAATTATTTAGAGGAAGTGTCCTCCCTGCTTCTGAATAGGTATTTCTGAGGCATTTTGGAGTTCAGGATCCACACTGGGCACTGTAGGTGGGGAGGCTTCATATCTACTTGCTTTGGGATATCTGATGCTTCCCAATGTGATTCAAACTGGCCAGAAAACATGGGGAACTGAATTATATCAGCTGGCAGGAGGGATTTTAGGTCTAAGATTATTCCATCAGAAAGGTTCCTTCTCTCTTCTTGTTAGATCTTTGATTCCACGAACAAAAGGTACGAGGTCCCAGTGCCTCTGAACACCCCTCCCTCTCCAGTTGGCTCCCCTGAAGACCGTCTGTATGACGTCAGGATTCAGAACAATCCTTTTGGGATCCAGATTCGGCGAAAAAGCTCCGGCACTGTGATGTAAGCACTATTTATTTAGTTCTCATTAAAGTGGTTCTAAGTATCATTATGGTGGTTCTGATTAATGCACATAAAATATTAATCTTAGAGACAATGTAAGTGTGTGTGTGTGTGTGTGTTAAACAGGGAGTAGATCTATTGCTCTATTTTCTACTAGTCACTAACTCAACAAGAAAAATTAATAAGAGGCTTAAAATAAGTGTTGCTTGATTTCAGAAAAAAGAAAAATGCACGTTCTACTCATTGTTTTTGTTAAGTAGAACAGAAAACTCTTTTTAATAAGCATGACAGATAACCTAGGATAGAAATCAGCTCTATATAGCCTCATTACAAAATAACAGAAGACTCAGGAGAGAGGGAATGTTTACTAAGGAAAGAGAAACAGTTTCTTACAATCAGCGCTGTAGACTCAAAGCCTTTTCCCAATGTTAAACGTGAAAAGAGTTGTCATTTCTCATCCCTTGTCCTGCTGCTGAATGCAATGAAGTGAAGGTCTGGATTTTGCCTGGGGCTGAAGTTCCCTTCCAAGTAAAACCATCACCTGTAGGCACACATGTAGACAGCCTTTGGCTCTCTTTGCCTGCATGTCTAACTTTGGTCAGTTGCCTTCTTTGCTAAGAAGTCCTTTGGCCAATTAAGAGAAGTCGTTCTAAGAGCTTCACCCTTTTCTTTTGGGAAATTTGCTTAGACCTTGCTTATTTATTCATACGTGCATTCAAACTGATACTCCAGACCATGATAACTAGAGATAAAGAGATGAGCGAGACATAGTTCTTGCCTTCAAGGAGCCCATGACCCAGAAAGAGAGTTCTCAGCCTTCCAGACCACAGAATAAAAATGTAAACGCAGAACGTTGGCAGTGAGTCATGGCCATTGTTACGAGCTGTGTCTTCTCACAGTATTTGAACCTGGATCCAGCTGTGCATTCCTTTAGGAGGCTTCAGGATCAACTAGAATTCCCAAACGGGCCCCGTGCTTGCTCTGGCCTGTGATCAGTACAATGTGGAGGTATGCCTTTGTGTTGCAGCTGGGATTCTCAGCTGCCTGGCTTCACCTTCAACGACATGTTCCTCTCCATTTCTACTCGCCTCCCCTCTCAGTACATCTATGGCTTTGGGGAGACAGAGCACACAGCTTTCAGAAGAAATATGAACTGGACCACGTGGGGAATGTTTGCTCGTGATGAGCCCCCAGCGGTAAGCACAGAAGAATAAGACAAGCACAGAAGAATAAGACTATCAATCAGTTTCTCTCCGAGTAAACTTATCTTAATCCATATGTACATGTATAGTGCCCTATTAATCAGCTTCACCTTATATTGATAAATTCTGCTCTCAGATGAAATAGGCCACAGGTTATGCTCCTTCTGTCCCTAACATATTTTTTCCTGTGGACTATGGATTTTACTTCATAAACTTTGCTTTAGTATATTCTGTGTGTCATGTACATGTCTTATTTAATAAAACGCTGTCTATTCTCCAGGGGCTTATAGGTTAGTAAGAGAGAGAGAGAGATGCAGAATTAATGGTAATCCATTATAATTGGTGCTATAATAGAATTATGTAATAATAAATGAGGAAGGCATGGAAGGGGAGGGCACCTGGTTTTTTATTTGGGGTGGAAAGGAAGGTTAAGGAAGGTTTTATAAAGGACGTGACATTATGCTGAATCTTCAATATTGAATAGGAGTTTGCTGTTTGCATTATGATGTAGAAACAACTTTTCAAGTATTTATTTATTTATTTTTTTGATTACTGCCTACTCTCCCCCATGGCTCTCCCAGTATAAGAAGAATTCCTATGGCGTCCACCCCTACTACATGGCACTGGAGGAGGATGGCAGTGCCCATGGGGTGCTCCTGCTAAACAGCAATGCCATGGGTAAGACAGAGGCACGTTCCCTGTGTACCACCATAACTAGCTGTGATCACTTTCCTGGGATCTGGAATATCCATAGAAATAGAGAAATTCAAGGGCAAGGGAAATGGGATAGATAAACTGACTTTTGCTCACTCCCTCCCTCCCTTCTTCCTTCCTTCCTTCCTTCCTTCCTTCCTTCCTTCCTTCCTTCCTTCCTTCCTTCCTTCCTTCCTTCCAGATTAATAAAGAACTTTAGGCCAGGTACTAGCAGTAAAATTTTGACCAAATTGCATGACCTTCTTTTACTGTGACAGTTTAACTTCCTTTCGTAGAGTGATACAAGATGTTGAGATTAAGATTATGCTTGGGGTACCTGTAAACCCATCTATTCCAGTACATGAAAGAAGACTTTCCAGAGAAGGAGAGCTTTAAAGAAAGAGAGAGAGTGAAGAGTACATTTGAGAGCAGATTTCCTATCTGGGTGATGTATAGTTCCAAGGACTCCTTGTCTTCTATTTTTTTTTTTTTTAACAGATGTGTCATTCCAGCCCACTCCTGCCCTAACATACCGCACCACAGGAGGGATTTTGGACTTTTATATGGTTTTGGGGCCAACCCCTGAGCTTGTAACTCAACAATACACTGAGGTTAGAATTCACTCTATGCATTGATAAACAATCAAATGTTTATTGGATATTACCATGTTCTTAGCACTGAGATAGGTCGATTTTTGTTTCTGTGTCCCTTGGGTATTCCTACTACATTATTGCTGTCTTTCCTGAAGTTAGGTTCTAATGTTACAGGTATAAAGGCATATATATATATATGCCATGGGTCTCTTAATTATTTGCTGAGCATCCTAAGAATCTCAATCAGTAATAGCCCCTGAGTTCTCAGCCTTCCCAGAGTGGAAGCTCCAGAATACAGGAGATTTTCTGTCATTCTGCATGCCAATGGTCATTCCATATTTATTTGACTTTCTTGTTTTTCTTGAGTGAAGCCGCTTAGATTGGACACTGCTCAGTAGAAGTGCTCAAGTAGCTTCAAGTATAGGACTTTTATTCCCTTTCCCCAAAAGTTTTCCTGGATCCATTTTTCTTCTTTATTCTAGTTGATTGGTCGGCCAGCAATGACTCCATACTGGGCCTTGGGATTCCAGCTAAGTCGCTACGGATACCAGAATGATACTGAGATCTCTCAATTGTATGAGGCAATGATGGCGGCCCAGATTCCCTATGTATGAATTCCCCCACTCAGTCCATGGTTTAATTAGTTATGGGAATTTGTGCCTAATTATAGATTGAAAATGTCTTCAGGGAAATTATTGATGACTACTTCAGTATAGGAAAAGGTAGTTGTGGAGCTAGTCTTGTATGGAATACAATGCTTTTTAAATTTATTTCATGCCACCCTTTTAAATCAAGGGTTCAAAATTGAAATTTGCATTAATTCTTCAGTAATTGGCAGTGTGATTGAGGGATATTGTTACTCACTGCCTTTTGCCAGGAATATCCTACAGTAGGCGTGGCTGGTCTTAAGCCATGACTTTGGGAACTTCTAAGTGAGAATCCGGTCACGAGGATGGCAATCCCAGATTATATTGTGATTGTTCTTAGAGAGGATGGATCTAAAGTGACAGTATGAAAGAAAGCAGTTAAAATCGAGTCTTCACCCTCTCTAAGGCACACATACCCACATATGCATATCACACAATGACAATGTAGGCCCCTTCATAAGCCACAAGAAGTGTAGGCTATTGCTGTCAGCAAGCAGAAGTCCATAGATAGCATGTCCTTCCTCCTCTGTAATCATCAGTTTCTCATCACTTATGCTCTTTCTCTGCTTCAGTCCACTCCCTGAGAGTTTAGAGGACAATTAATGACTGGAAGATGAGAATAAAGTAAAGTGTTATGATGTTCTCATCAAAGATAACTTGAAACATTCATCCAGGCTTCAAGTATTTTATTTTTATATACTACTCTACCACATACTTATTAAATGTAAGTTAGAAAAAGTTGGAAAATTAAAAGATGAAAATTCCAGAGATCTACCTCACCAAGGTGATCAGTGTTAATAATATGTTGGTTTATTCTTTTCCAAGCTTTGGCTTTTGCACAAATCTCTGCTCCCCAAACAAGTTTCACCTAGAATCTTAAGACAATATGGGTGATTATCCTCTTCAGGCTAAAAAGAAGCACCTCTTTTTTTCAACTGGATATTAACCACGTTAGCCATCACTCACCAATCCTGGATTGAGTGACTTTCACATGCAGAAGTCTGGGTTGGTACTGTTTAGAGAAAAAGGAAGACAAGGTTCTCATCTCATGGACCATCAAGTCAAATGGAATGGCAGAAATATACACATTCTAGAAAGCTATACAATAATATAGTTCTAAATGTGAATGAGTCCAATCAGGTTTACTGGAGGGGGGAAAATAAAACTACACTTTTCTGTTTCTCAGGGAAGTCTTGCTTTCTACCCTTGAACATTCAACTAGCACTTGGTTTGATAGGCTCACCAGTTTGAAATTTGAGGAGTGCAAAAGAAATGAATCGAGGGAGGGAAAGGAGAGAGAATTCCAATTGAGGGAACAGAAGGAAAAGATGGGGACAGGTGATCCGTATGTAGGAATCGGAAAGCAATTTCAATCAGTAGAATTGAAAAGTCAGCGTAGCAAGGTATGGGACAAATTAGGAGGGGCCTAGGCTGGGGTCGGCAGAGCCGTTTGTGGGCCCTGAGGGGTACTGCCATGGGATCCCCAGCATCTTGCTTGGTCCGTCTTGTAGGATGTCCAGCATGTAGACATCGATTACATGGACCGGAAGCTGGACTTCACTCTCAGCCCCAGCTTCCAAAACCTCGGCCTCCTGATTGAGCAAATGAAGAATGGTGGCATGAGATTCATTCTCATTCTGGTAAGTATTTAGAAGATTAGCGCCCATTTTCTGTTTCTGTGTTCATGGCTGTAAAATAGTACCATTGGGAGAAACTAGATGGAGAGTACATGAGACTTCCCAAACATTTTTTGCAACTTCCTTTGAAACTATAATTATTTTTTAAAGTTTTAAAAAGCGAATAAAGGAGGACAGAACAAATGAAAAATGGCTTTCCAATGGTGATACTTTGCAATATTTATTTTTCATAATTGTCACTGGGATGTAATTTATTATTACAGTTCCCTTGGTTAGAGTTAGAACTGTGGACTGAAACACGGACTATAGCAACAACATCCAAAAATCCTCACTGTTTCAGGCTGTGCCTCGGAGGGAATAGCTATATTGTAGTCTCATCTATACCTTAGGGGGTTCAAAAGCCACTCCAGTTGTATCATTACCCGGCAATGGTGAGGCTCAGGGGACTTACTTCTTCTTAATTAAACTGACAAACCACTGAGCTAAGATTCAGAACACCAATTCATTATTTTGCACTGGAGGCTATATTTTGATAAACACAGAAGTAGTTACCTGCAAATGGTCCTCCCTTCTAGCTTCCAAGAAGTAGAGCATTATTTGCTGACTTTCATTCATTCATTCACTCATTCACTCAGGTATTAATTAAATACTGGGTCTTTGAAAATCACTGTTCTAAAATGTACGTGTGTGTGTGTGTGTGCGCGCGTGCGTGCATGTACGTAATCTAAATTAATGAATAAGACATTGTCCTTTTTCTTATAGGGATTTTATTCTATCAGAGATAGCCAATAAGTAAACATTAAAAAAAGATAATTTCAGATAGTGATGATTTATATGACAATTGTGAAATAAGATACTATTATAGAATAATTGAGACAGGTATGGGATGGGGTGAACAGGGAAGCCACTTTGGACACAGAACAGAAGAAAGAAGCTTCATGTTCTTAAGGAATATTGATATCACACTGTGGGAGCACAATAAATTGGCTTTATTCATGGGAGGGTAATGTCTTATTAACCTGGTTTATCTCTAGGAATGTTTTCAAACAGCATACTTTATTCCTCAAGAATTTTATAGACATAAGGCAAATTATCTACGGGTATTTTGTTTTTGTTTTTTGTCTTGGAGATGTTTTTCTCATGTTCGCTGTTTTAAACCCTTTCATTGCAGGACCCAGCCATTTCTGGCAATGAGACCCAGTATCGCCCATTCACCAGAGGGCAGGATAACAATGTATTCATCAAATGGCCCAACAGCAATGACATTGTCTGGGGAAAGGTGAGCCTTGGCAGAAGATGCCCATAATTAATCAGCACCAGAATGTCTTGATTAAAAGAGGCTGTCAAAAAAAAAAAAAAAAAGAGGCTGTCAATAAATCTTGGCAAAATATATGGGTAATTAATAAATTATGAATGAGTAGAAATCTGCCTGATGCTGATTAATAAGACCAAGGTTACAGGTCTAATTCTCTAAAATATCAGGGAGCTTTGTTCTATTATCTGGATCTATTCTGGTGTTCCACCCCTTATGCATTCCACTGGGTCATGTATCAAACCTAAAGAAGTCCTTTGAGAATGGCTCTGAAGTCTCTGCCTGCCAGGCACCCATGCTCAAAACTTGTGTTCATCTTTGACCTATGAGGCTTAGCATCCTCCATATCGAAATAAATCATTAAGCCCTGTAAATTCTCCTCCTCCTCATGTCTCCTTTAGTTCCTTTTTGTGACCTCAGTCTTCATCTGTTTGATTTATAGCAACAGGATTGTAGGTAAACTTCCTGACCCCGGATGACAGAAGCTCCTAGGCACGATTCAGACCCTGCTCTGTAACTGTGCTGTGCGATTTCCTGTTCTAGGTGCATGCCATGCTCACTGTGCCTTTGAGTGTTGCCTTCTCAGCTTACCCAAATAATACCTGCACTTCAAGACCAACTCAAATGTACCCCCCTAGGAAGCATCCAATGACCAGTTTAACTCTCCCTATTTCTTCCTTTTCCTATATTAGTATCCTCAGAGAGGACAGCATGTCATTTAGCATGCACATTTTATCTGTGAACTCTTAGAAAACAAGGACTAGAGGGACTCCTGGGTGGCTCAGTGGGTTGAGAGTTCAACTCTTGGTTTCAGCTCAGGGTCCTGGGATCGAGTTCCGCATCGGGCTCCCTGCTCAATGAGGAGTCTGTTTGAGGATTCTCTCTCCCTCTGCCCCTCCTCTCGCTCGTGCTCTCTCTTCCCTATCTCTCTCTCTCTCTCTCTCAAATAAATACATCTTTAGAAAAAAAAAAAAGAAAACAATGGCTATTTCTTACTTAAATCTCAGTAGGTACAGATTATAGTACAGGGCCTATCATATAGTGTCAGTAAGTGTTTGCTGAATGGATTAATTATTTAATGTATATAGTGAATGTCCTAGGTATAGATGAGATTGGTTGAAACTCTGGATTTTTTTAATGCTATGTGTATTTGGGGTCCCCAAAAAGTGATAATGCTGCTTAAGAATATTGAGGCTAAGTTTATAGGTTGTGAATGAAATCAATCTTAGTTCTTTAGAGTCATGTTTGTTATTTTTGAAGAGAATTTTGTTATATGTCTATGACAGATCGCAGAGCAGACATTTGAAAGGTGATTGTTCAGAGGATGTATTTAAAACAGATTTAGCTCATTTTATTTTTGAACTTAATGATTTTGAAAGCTTATGAAATGAGTCAAGGGACCCTAGCCTATTTTCCCCTAACAGAATTTCGTATATTCAGATTTTACAATTTAATTAATGGCCAAGATCTCCAAGAATTTTATGGAGATGCATGTCATTAGAGTCTGACACGGGAATCATCTCATGGTCCATGTGCAATACCTTTTAGAGGTTTTTATTTTTCTTCTTCTTCTCTAGGTTTGGCCAGAACTGCCCAATGTGAATGTGGATACATCCCTTGACCATGAAACTCAGGTTAAGGTATAGTTATGTGCAGATTTCTGTCCACGTTGCCCTAAACATCTGGGTACTTATGAGTCTTATGCCAGCACTTGGTTAGGCAACTCTCTGAGCGTGCTTGTCAACTGGTAATTTCTTGGTAGAATGAGATCCTCAAACAGAAAACATCATAAGCAACTAAACTGGAAATGTATAGAGGGAAATCAAGTGAAATGTCTTCACATGTATGCCTTTAATAGATTGTATTTTTTTTAAATCCAATGGTGCTTGAAAAATAATGAATTGAAGTCCAGAATATTTTCACTGGAGAGGTTATGAACAGACTGGGTCTTTGATGAATTGTCCCCAGATAAGAAAATAGGCCAGCCAGTTCCAAAGGGGTAATGTTTTTGAACTCAGCACTTGATGCCACACCAGCCTGGGTATCTAGCAGCCCCTTTAAACTCTGCAGCTCCCTTTTCCCTGGATGACTGGTCTCCTTTGTTTGACCAGTGTAGAAAAAACATTTGTATATCTAAAGTTTGATCGTTTAGACACAGATAGTTAATTTTCCAGTTCATAGGATTAAAGGCCCAGTCATTAAACAAATCTCATGTTAAAGGGGATTTAACACTATCTAACCTCCTTCTAGGAGAATAATGAATGCAGTCAGCCTTCTCTGATCTTCGTGTTCACAGTAAACTCTGTAGAAGCAACAGCAGAGCTGAGGCTAGTTTCAGACCCTGAGAGGGGCAGTGCCTTGCACAAGTACCTGCTCCTCACCCCTTCCTGGTCCCAAGACTCCCCTTCCCAGACAGCTGGACAGGCAAAGACCCAATGTGAGAGTATGTGTTTACTCTTACAGTTGTACAGAGCCAACGTTGCTTTTCCTGACTTCTTACGTAATAGCACAGCCGCGTGGTGGAAGATGGAAATAAAAGAGCTGTATGCGAATTCTGAAGAGTCAGAGAAGAGCTTAAAGTTTGATGGATTGTGGATTGTAAGTGCACCCTTAGTGGTTTTTCTTTGGAAATGTTAGGAGTCAAACCACGGGGAGGCAATTCAGAGACAAGCAAAGGAGGGAGTTAAGGCTGGAGGAGTGAGAGAGAGGGATACTCTTATACAGTTGAGGTGCTGGACCCCCAGAGACACAGAGATGACTGTGGGTCTGCCCAGGAACATGCTTGCAGAAGCTGAAGCCCATGGAGGATGTGTGCCGCTACTGGAGATGCTGCCAGAGAAAAGGGGAGGGGGACAAATACCCCAGCTTCTTTTATCTCTCACCCTCCAGTTGCTGGCCAGTGCCTCCCATTGGCCAAACTACCCAGAAGCGAATGCTAGGGGAGCCTGAGGGCCCATCCTTTGATACAGGACAGAGCTGGGGCAGGCAAGGCATGAATCCAAGAGATCATAGGTGTTCACCATATTGGTCATAGTGGTGGTACAGATTCATCTTCAAAGGCTGGTCCAGATGTTGCTTACACATGTCAGTTGGCTTAAGAGCAGGGCTTCCTGAAATGTCTGCAGGACATGGTCCAAACGCTCTTCTATTTGTGCTTTTCTAGGGATGGGCGGCATATCAGCATTCCCATTTTCTTCCTCACTGTCCTGTGACCTGAAGTGTTGAGCATATTCTAGGCCAGGTCTCCAGAGCCTCACAGGTCCGGGCTAGGCTGAAAGAAGCTCATAATTCACCCAGAGACAGACTTACAAGCCCACTGGCAGCCCTGGGGCTTCTCTGGCCACTATTCTCAGGGTGGATCGGCCCAGAGCAGACATATGAAAGATTAGCCCAAATACAGGCAAAGCAAATAGTGAAGAGCTGTGGGTAGCTTTGAGGACTAGGGAGATGATTGCTCTGGGATTTTTGTTCTGCTGGCGAGCAGATTCGGCTGAAAAACTCAAAATAGTAAATAGTTCCCAAAATACTTGCCTTTGCCCTAGTATGTCCTGTTGAAGGTAGTCCAATTTACAAAATCTTAACTTTTCTGCTAACAAAGTAGGCAGTGAATTTTCACCTCAGGAACCGCCACTTCTTGCATTTAAGTAATAAATCCCCCAAGTATGATTTGATTTCCAGATTTGGTTCTGAGTTACCCACAACTCTTCAGGACTGCATCTATTGCAGAAAGCGAGACACTCCTCCTTGTGTTTGGTCTCTGCTGATGTCAGAATTAGTCCAAGCTACTGGACTAAGAAAGAGTAGGGGAAGATAATAGCAACCATTGGCCATAGATAAAAAGTGAGTAATTCACACATGGGAAAACAAAGATGGGTTTCTTGTGTGGGGAGATGTATCAAGGAATCTCCTTAGGTCATGGATTCAGCATAATCTCCACGTTTTTGCCACTATGAAGTAATCCTCACAAGTTTAAAAATGCCAGGTAAACTAGGAGTTTCACACTCTACTTAGATGAACATGGGTTCTTAGAGTCCATTTGGGTCAATGCCTTAGAGTAAACAGAGTCAATGAAATGATTAGCTGAGGGCTTAAATAAGATGTGTTCATCTCTGTGAAGCGGTGTCCTCCAGAGCCAAGGCCACACTGCCTCTGACATCACAGAATCTTTCTTGTTAACTCATTGCAGGATATGAATGAGCCATCAAACTTTGTGGATGGATCTGTCAGGGGCTGCAGCGATGAAATTCTTAATAATCCACCCTATATGCCATGTATGTAAATGATTCCTTCATCAAATTACTCCCCTACTCAAAAACTCTGAAAGTTTCCCTCTTATTGTCAAAGCAAAGCCTAATTTTGGAGAAAGAAAATACTTGTACACATGTCATAAAATCCCAAATAGAATAACCTTGAACAAGTGTAAATTACTAATCAGACATAGAAATAATGACATGATGTATTATGAAAGAAACCAAGCATTGGATGATTACATTTGTAACTATGAACTGATTGCTCACTTTACACAACCCCCCCAACACACAGAATATTCTGATTGAAGAATGAAAATCTAGGCTCTGTACTCTCTCTGCCCATGTCCACAGACACTTCATGAAAGACATGCCCTAGTAGTCCTGTGGTACAAACAGAAATAGAGCATTAGAGGACCTTACCATCAAAGGTATCTCAGAAAGTTGAATCCTCTCACCTTACAGTAACCTGGGGAAGGAAGCGACTCACCTTCTTAGGAGCATCAAACAAGTAGTTTGTGGGACAGAATCTGCTAAGTTTCTTGACGTTTAGTCACGGTTATGCTGTCCATGTCTCACTAACTGTGTTCCTTTCCCTCCTCCTTCCCTCCCTCCCCTGCTTCCCTCTTTCCTTCCTCCCTTCCTACTCGTCCCTCCCTCAATATTTATGTATCAGACAAGCGCTAACAAATCAGAAAATTTAGAGACCTTAATACAGTTGTTTGAAACAAGATCTATTCCCTTGAGAATGTTACCATCTAGTGGAAAAAACAGTCATAACAACAAAGGAGTTTCTTGGGCTGGTCAGTGAGCTCTGATTGCACTCTATAAACACCAGAGGACAATGAAGCGTGCCTTTCCCAGCTCCATGCCCTGTCCTTACCCTTCATTAGTTATCAAGTCACAGCATGTTGATTTTGTAGACAAAATAATTCTTGACATTGGAACTGTTATGGGTAACAAAGTCGTTGAGTGCAATGGAGAAATAGCAAGCTAACGAGCATTTCTCGTGAATGCACAAAGCAAGTTGTTCGGGAAGTAACTCGCATTTCCGCTCAGATTTGGAGTCCAGGGACAAGGGCCTGAGCAGCAAGACCCTGTGCATGGAGAGTGAGCAGGTCCTGCCAGATGGCTCGCGCGTGCGGCACTACGACGTTCACAGCCTGTACGGATGGGCCCAGACCAGACCCACCTACGAGTGAGTGTGTTCCTACAGTGGCCGGCTCAATCCCAAGAGCATGCAGCTCTTGATCTCGGGGTCATGAGTTTGAGTCCCATGTTGGGTGTAGAGATTACTTAAACAAATAAATAAATAAACTTAAAAAAAAAAAAGGAAGAAGGCTGCCTAAAATTTAGTCAAACTGAAGGGAATGTTAAGGCCTTGCTGGTCCCCTGGATTCCTTGCCTCTATATCTTTGCCAAGGGGACAAGTAGAAGAAGCCATACCCTCACCTTGAGGCGGTTTGTAAGACCTTTCACTTCCTGCTGACTCAGGACCTCAGGTGCAGCCAGAACTGAGTCACCAGAACTTTCTCCTTTCACGGCTCTTTGCTGGGCTTGCCCAGAGCTTTGTGCATGTGCTGTCTTTTCGGTTCCCAGGAATATGTAGGAGCTTTACAAAGTTCTCCATGGTAATACTTCTCCAGGATTTACTCTAAGACCAGCCAAGCTTTGTTTTGTCCCAGCTGAACCCCAGTCTGAATACCTATGATGGTGCCAGAAAATTGTTACTGTTTTGGTAATTCCCTGGCTTGAGAATTTATTTTCCCCTGCTGAGCTGAGCTCTGAGTCCAGTCAAATGGCCACAACACCTTGGGAATAGAGATTTTCCAGGGGGCTGGAAGCTAGAACAAAACTATTAATTATGCCCCGGGGGGGCTGGTGCTTCCCACAGAGCCCCCAAAGAGGTCAGATCTCTGAGGCTGCTGCAGGGCTGCTGGCTTTTGGAGCCACTGAACTAGGGATGGGGTCAGCTGAGAACAGCCCCAAGTTCAAGTCCCACACACCACGCTGTCCTGCCAAGATTTAGTGGTTTTTCTTGGATAGACATTAGTCATTTCTTTCTAGAGCTGGTTAATTTTTAGAGTTCTGCAATGGTCAGCGACAAAGCTCTTTGCATCACTCAAATCTACCCTTCCTCTCTACCCCTGCCTTATTTCAGGCCTTCATTATCTCTCAGACATGTGTGTGTGGAAGGCAGGGGTATGTGGGGGGGGGGTGTCCATCCACGTGGGGGTTTATGTTGGTGTGAAATATTGGAAGTGACCTAATGGATTAATCTTTACCCCAGTAGCTTTTCCTGACATCATTTACTGAATAATTCATCTGTGTCTATTGATTTGTAACGCTTCCTTCAGCAAATACGGGGATTGCATTATGGACTCGGATCTGTTAATAGCCTTTCTCTTTCTGTTCCATTGATTTTCCTCTCACACAATTGTTTTTATTTTCTTACTGAGACTGCAGGCAGAAGACCCACCTTCCGTAGCCAGATATTTGAACATCTTTTGTGTACATTTGTCCTTGTGTGCCAGATTTATCCCACTTTGTGAGGAGTAGCACAGAGAGAGAGTATTACCAAAGAGCTATAGTCATATATACTTTTATTTGGATCCTGGCTCTGCCTCCTTGCTCATTAAATGTCCTCTGGCAAATTGTCTAATTTCTCTGAGCCTCAGTTTTATAACAGTAAAAGGAGGCCAAAGAAACCTCAGGAGGTTGAGAGGCAGTATACAACGGGAGTGACCAAGCTGATACCTGGTTAGAGTAATTGTTCCGTAAACTCCTGTCTCACACCTCACCCCACTCCTTCCTGCCACCTCTATGTAGGCAACTAGTTAATTCAATTTTTTTTTTTTTAAGAAAGGAAATCCACATTTAGGTGATGATGGATCTCCAGTTGTCCTGCTGTGACTCTTAGCATCACCTTTAAATAGCAGATGCTTCCAGGGAAGACGCTTTCTGGCTCCAAATGGAAAACCATTGCCACCTCATACTCCAGACTGGCGCGGCTCTCTGTAGCGAAGCCCCGCAACTGTCCATCCACGAATTCACCCCCAATTCACCTCCTTGTTCCCTTCCAACCAGAGCTGTGCAGGAGGTGACGGGACAGCGAGGGGTCATCATCACCCGCTCCACATTCCCCTCTTCTGGCCGCTGGGGAGGCCATTGGCTGGGCGACAACACGGCCACGTGGGACCAGCTGAGGAAATCGATCATTGGTGTGTGGGCTTCCTCCCAGGGGCCTCTGCTGGCAGGGAGGGGACTGGGTTGTGTGCCGGCGGCCACATTGGTTATGTCTATGTATCATCCACATGGGCAGAGAAAGCAGCAGGCGCTGACTTCTCTGTGGGTATGAGTTGTAGTCTCTACCCATCTTTGGATATTTTCATCATGGGTGGCCCAGGGCTTCAAAATCGGGTATGGAAGAGACAGGGCAAACGTACCCTCTGAAAGGGCTACTTTGTCCAACACAGCTGTGTCTTCTCATTGCAGGCATGATGGAGTTCAGTCTCTTTGGAATACCGTATGTAAGTTACATTGGGGCCATTATTAATTACTCAGTCGGATTCCAGCGTGTCTGCGACCTACAAAAGTCCCACCTCATGTTCTGATTTTGCATCTTCTCAGACAGGAGCAGATATCTGTGGCTTCTTTGGAAATGCTGAATATGAGATGTGTGTTCGCTGGATGCAGCTGGGGGCCTTTTACCCCTTTTCCAGAAACCACAACACCATCGGGACCAGGGTGAGGCGGCAGCTGGTGCTCAAATCACAACTTCTTCATCACCCTCAAAAGTAGCAGACTTCTTTGTTGAGGAAAAATCATAAAAATCAGAACCTCCATTTCATAGAAAACCCACAGAGTTCAAAACCCCAGAGTTATAAGCAATCCTCAGGAGTATCCTTTTGCTCATGTCTTGGGGAATGCGTGCCTATGAGGGCAGTAGGGGTTTGTAGCTCCCTATGGGGCTAAACTAGAAGAAGCTCCTTTTCCTTAGAGAATTTTTATTTTACTCCAATCCATCCAAGCTCCATCAGTGCTGCAGAGAGACCCATCTCTCCAGCCCTGTGCAGGAGACTTAGGAGTCTGTGATAAAGAATGGGAAGCCAGTAGCACCGGTTTAGTTGGACAGCAGGGGCAAGAGAAAGGATGGGATAGAAACGGAGCGTGGGATTGCGTAAGTGGTACATGGGACATGTGTCTGCTGACCTTCTTCTGATAGTGTTAGGACGGCATGAGGAGGTATCGGCCACATGTTCCTTTATCTCTTTAGAGACAAGATCCTGTGGCCTGGAATTCCACCTTCGAGATGTTCTCCAGAAAAGTCCTTCAGACCAGATACACCCTGCTGCCCTACCTCTACACTTTGATGCATAAAGCTCACACTGAGGGCAGCACTGTCGTCCGACCCCTTCTCCATGAGTGAGTACAGCCCGTTCCCCCAAGCAGGGGTTCTGGCCATGTCTGATGGAGAGCCCTCTGCAACAGTCCTAACACTTTGGTAGGGTTTTCATACATTTTTTTTTTTTTTTTAAGGTTTACGAATGACAGCAGAACATGGGATATAGACCGTCAGTTCATGTTGGGTCCTGCCCTCTTAATCAGCCCCGTGCTGGAAAGTGTGAGTTTTCCATGATAGATCAGAAACCCTCAGTCACATAATCTCAAGTACAAGAAGAGCGTTTTAAAGATCATCTTGTGCTGCTCGCTGTTTTCCAGCAAACACCTTTCTAGAACACACAAGGGAGATCTTTTTCTTTTTTCAAAATCCCCATTAGTGAAAACTTCACAACCCCAGCTGATTTCTCATTTTAGTGTCTTGTTACCCCACATCATTGTAAAGTTTACCTTTTTAAAAAATTAAGTTTTCTTTATGTTTGAAGAATTTTATCAGAGCTTTTTCAATTAAACTTCCCAAACTCAGGGTGCCTGGGTGGCTCAGTGGGTTAAGCATCTGCCTTTGGCTTGGGTCATGATCTTAGGGTCCTGGGATCGAGCCCCACGTCTGGCTCCTGGCTCAGCGGGGAGCCTGCTTCTCCCTCTGCCTCTTCCTCTGTGCTCTCTCTCTTTCTCTCAAATAAATAAACAAAATCTTTTAAAAAATCTTTAAAAAAATTTTGAGAACTTCCCAAACTCTTAAAATCATTAACAAAATTCCCATTGTTATCTTAATTCTACAGAAAGAATTTTAATAATTAAGTTATTGGAATATACATAATGACGTGTCAATTTTATGTTTCAGAACACTTTTGAGACCCCTGCTTATTTTCCCCCAGGCCGTTGGTATGACTACAGCACGGTAAGAACTCACATATCTTGTGAAGAACCAAACTGGTCCATGCTGGCTAGAGGGGTGGCCAGCACTTTCTCTTGACCTTGAGGCACATAATTTCTAAGGCAATGATTTTCAGCCTGTCAGCCAAGCAAGGTTTGCTTAAATAAAAGTATCCACAAAAAGCACAATCAGGTAAAATCTAACAACCATATCACATTGACTTTTCTCCCACCCCTACCCCCACCTTTTCTGGAGAATACAGAGAAAAGACTAGATTTCCAGAGTTTTTAACAAAACTGAAATCAGAGATTTTTTTCTTCGTTTACTCGCTGTTTCTTGCTGACTTTCGAACATGCTTCCTTAGAAAGACTTGTGTTAAGGCGTGCATCTGTTCATCTCATCTCTTTATCTTCATCCTTCCTTGCTTATATTCTGTCTTCTAGGAATCTGGCAATGTGTCGACAGGTGAGTGGAAAATCCTGGACACTCCCCTTGACCACATCAACCTTCATATCAGAGGAGGCTACATCCTGCCCTGGCAAGAGCCTGCGATGAACACTCATGCCAGGTAAGGGGGAGCGATGCTACCGGTGGCCTCACTTTGTCCTAAGGAGGCGTCCTCACAGACGCCGCCTGCCTTGACCAGGGCTCTGTGGATAACGAAGCCCAATTACAGACCCTCTCATTGATTCAGTTCCCTAAGTGCCTTCTGCCTGGGATCTGGGGGAGAATGCATTCATGAAGTCAGTCTTGGGGAGATCTTTTATCTGTAGCTCTGTGTCCCCGGCCTGGGGCAACATTTTTCTTTAATTTTAATTCAATGTGATTTTATTTTTTAGAGAGGGAGAGCATGTGTGGGGGTGGGGGGTGGGGGGAATGGGAGAGGATGCTCCATGCTGAGCACCGAGTAGGAGGGCTTGATCTGACCACCCTGAGGCCACCCTCATCTCACCACCCTGAGCCACAATCAAGAGTCCAGCGTTTAATCAACTGAGCCGCTCAGTCACCCCTGGTGCAAAAATTTTCTTGAGGGCAGGAGCATTTACCTCTTTCCACACTATTAAAAAGGCTGGGAATATTAATGAGCTCCTTGATTGGTGATGGCTATCCAAGGATGATTTATTGCCTATTTCCAGGTCTACATTGGTCAACTCAGGATGGATTTTATATAAATATAAAGGCTCATATATGTATTTTATATTTACATATTTATATTTGTATATATATACTAAATTAAAAGGAACATGTTATGTCAAGAGGGACACACATAAAAAGAACTAGAACCATTCAAAAGGAGAGAAGTTAACTCAGCCTTGTGGTGTAAAGCATGGTTTCACGTGAAAGAGAGCTCTGAACCGAGTCTTGAACAATAAACAGGATTTGAATATATGAAGACAGGGACAGAAATATTCTGGGAGTTTTAAAGAGCTAGAGGTGAGAAGTGAGTTTGGTTTGGGGAATAGTAAACCAATCAGTTTAATTGGAGAGTAAATAGGAAGAGGGATGAAATAAATAAAATTCAAGCAGGCTAGGATCAGGTCATGGTGGGCGCAAATGCCAGACCAAGTACTTTGTATTTTATTCTATAGCAATCTGGAGGCTCCTGGAGGGTTGTTTGGTGGTTTTCTTCCTAAGGAATTCATATCTTATCATATTACTTATAATACGTATGTAAGTAAAGTATGTTGATTTGATTTTTTAAGTGTCTGTATTTTTAATCCACAAGAAGATCATGCCTAACAAATTCGTATTAATTATTAAAAGTTAAATCTTTAAAAAATTAAATATTTTGAAATATATTCAAATCAAAGGACATTGATTATACATATTTGGTATTTATTTACCATAATTATTTTTAAGTCCCTACTATAAGGAACCACCTCAAAATTCCAAACATTTTCTTTCATTACATAAAATAATTTAAATATGACTACACTTAATGAAAATTCGTTGGCACATACATCCTTTGAGATGGAATCCATCTCTCTTTGCAAAATATATTTTCATAGACAAATATCTAAGTACATCTCAGTTTAATGGTATTTATATGTTTTAATGTATCATATAGTAGACATTTTGGTGTATAATTTTTTAAAAATAAAATTCTGTTTTAAACCATCTAGGAAACCTTAATACTTGAGAGGTGTGCAATAAGCTCTTTTATAAAGAAGATACGTTTAATTTACCTATTTTTGGAACTTTATGTGCATTTTTATGTACATTTTTAATGCATTATTTTTTTTGTTATAGATGAGTAATATTTTCAACAGAAACTGTCCTTCATTCTTACAACCTATAATCTCGAGAAAAAAATAACTCCTTTTTTTTCCCCTAGTCGACAAAAATTTATGGGATTGATTGTTGCATTGGACGACAATGGGAAAGCTGAAGGCCAGGTATTCTGGGATGATGGACAAAGCATTGGTGAGTATAAGCATTCCAGGGTTTCCATACAGCAGGCAGAAAAACCATAGCTCAGGATATAATTGGCATAACCTGAAAATCTATTTCTACACCTGTTTCTGCTACTGTTATAAAGCGATGGTGTTGGGAGAATTTTTGCTATTTTTGCCTGCTCCTTATATTATATTGTAATTACTGTAGAATAGTATATGGTCCCCAGCTTTGTAGGTTCGGCAACATGATGTTATGGGTTCAGCCAGGGGTGATCTATCTCTGCATAACTAACTGCCTTGCTCTGATAAAAGTGTGGATGCAAGTATCAGGCTGACAGTTCATTCATTCTCAGTGGTTCACAGACCTGGCTCTGTTATTTGGGCCAGCCATCTATTACCAGGCAGCCTGTTCCTCCTAAGTAGGCTCACTCAGGAGACAAATTGGAGCTCAGAAAATTTCTTAGTGTCTCAGAAGTAGGGAATTAAGCATTTTCAAAAAGATGCTGATACCAATGAAATACTACTTTGTATACTTTCCCCAATCTAGGGATATGACGGTGCTACCTGAGATAATTGGGTTTGTCACTATAGTCAGAACATCTTCTTCCTTAAACATCTTTATAGAAATACTGACATGTTGTTACCAACTGACGCCCATTTTCCAATACCTATTACTGACTAGAACATTCTAATCTTATAACGTGTCACAGTTTCTGAAATTATAGCTTGTTTATCGCTAGTAATATCTTCCTTTTCATTTTCTTCATTATGGGGGTAATATATTGTCATTAAAGAAAATATTTTAAAGACGGAAAACTAGAAAAAAAGGAATAACTTAATATTATTGTTGTATTCTTTTGCTTTCATGTTACTTAAGAAAATGCTTAATTTTTTATATCACTTAAAACATACCGCACATTTAATTTCTGAGTGCCGTTTCTTTGCACTTAGCATAACGACAGAAATATGTCTAGATGTTATCATATGCTCCTTATAAACACCATTATGATTACTATATCCCACTGAGAGGATACGCCACAATTTATCTGACTTTCTGTAATTACTCTCTAGGGTACAGGATGTTTTCAGTTTTCATTGTTATAAACACCATCAAGTATTAAGCTTTGTTTGTGTTTCAGATTATTTCCATGGGGTAGATTCCTAGAAGTGAAATTATTGTTTTTTTTAGTCAATTTGCTTGAGTTGCATTTATACAGATAAAATGTATCCATCCTAAGTATACAGTTCAATACATTTTGACAGATAGATACGTTTATATTGCCACCACCACAATCAAGATCTAGAATATTTTTTTTAAGATTTTATTTATTTATTTGACAGAGAGAGACAGCGAGAGAGGGAACCCAAGCAGGGGGAGTGGGAGAGGGAGAAGCAGGCTTCCCGCTGAGCAGGGAGCCCGATGCGGGGCTCGATCCCAGGACCCTGGGATCATGACCTGAGCCGGAGGCAGACGCTTAACAACTGAGCCACCCTAGAATAGTTTTATGACCCCAAATTTCCCCTTCTATGTCTTTTCAGTGAACTAGCCCCCACTCCCAACCCCGACTTCAGGCTCTTACAACCACTGATCTGCTTTCTGTCACTCTAGATGAGATTTGTCTTTTCTAGGCTTGACGTAAATAGAATCATATAGTGCGTATCCTTTTGTGCTTAGCTTCTGTCAGTTAGCAAAGTTATTTTTGTAGCAAAATGTGTTGCCATCTGGCGGCATATAAAAGTAGCTTATTACCTTCTTTTAAATTTTATTTTATTTTATTATGTGATGTTAGTCACCATACAATACATCATTAGTTTTTGATGTGGTGATCCATGATTCACTGTTACCTTTTGACTCCTGAATAACATTCCATTGTATGGATATACCATAATTTATTTATCCATTTACTTATTGATGAATATTTAAGTTGTTTTATGTTTTTTACCCTTATGCATAAACCTGCCATGATTATTTGAGTATAAGTCATTTTGTGATCATACGTTTTCATTTCCCTTGGGTAAAAACCTGGAAGTGAAATTGCTGGGCTGGGTCAGATGATAATTGTTTGTTTAACTTTTGAAGAAACTGCCCAAGTATTTTCTAAAATGGCTATGCTGTTTCTCCTTACTGACGGCAATAATTCAGAGTTCCAATTTCCCACATCTTCACTAACACTTGATGTTAGTGTCGGTTTTTAAAATTTTAACTATTCTAGGGCGCCTGCGTGGCTCAGTTGGTTAAGCGACTGCCTTCGGCTCAGGTCATGATCCTGGAGTCCCGGGATCGAGTCCCACATCGGACTCCCTGCTCGGCAGGGAGTCTGCTTCTCCCTCTGACCGTCTTCCCTCTCGTGCTCTCTATCTCTCTCACTCTCTCTCTCTCAAATAAACAAATAAAATCTTTAAAAAAATTTTTAACTATTCTAGTAGTACACAGTGCATCTCATTATGTTGCATTTCCTTGATGTTGAGCATCTTATGTTTATTGGCTATATGTATGTCTTCTTATTGAGGCATTGGTTCAAGTCCTTTGCCTATTTTTTATTATGTTGTCTTTCCCTTATTGACCTGTAGGAGTTATGTATACCAGTCTTTTATCAGATACAATTTGTATCTCCCTGTCTGTAATTTGCCTACATAATTCCTTTATAGTATCTTACAAAAAACAAACTTTAATTTTGATAAAAGTCCATTTTTTTCCATGCTTTTCTTTTATATTTGTGCTTTTTGTACCTTGGTCTAAAAAGCATTCTGGTACCAATTCTAACATGTGTGGGGGTGTTTCCCCATACCAACAAGCAATTCTGGGACACTAGGTGTCCTACAATTCAACTCAATTCTGACACTGTCTACCAGGAAATAGCACTGGATCCCACAGGTTAAGAGCTCAGTCCCACGGGATTGCCCCCTCCTCCCTTTCCCACTTCATACTAAGCTGGCTTGTCACCTATGCTTCTGAATGACCCACTGTAGATCGGAGGTTCCCGCCTTGGGATTCAGACACCAGTTCCAAGTCCAGGTTGTTACCTGTACCTCACACTAACTGGCTATAAATCAGAAGTTCCTACAACTGCCTGCTCAGGTTTGATTAATTTGCTAGAGCAGCTCCCAGAACTCAGAGAAACATTTTACTTACTAGATTACCAGATTATTATAGAAGAATATAACCCAGGAACAGCCAGGTGGAAGAAATGCGTAGGGCAAGGTATGTGGGAAGGGGCTCAGAGCTTCCATGCCCTCTCCAGAGATACTACTTTTCCTGAATCTCCACCTGCTCACCAATCTGGAAGCTCTATGAGCCCCATCCTTTTGGGTTTTTATGGCAGCTTCATTACACTGGCATCATTGGCTACATTATTGGCCATTGGCCATTGATTCAACCTCCAGCCCCAATCCCCTTCCAAAGGTCTCTGGGTGGGGCTGAAAGTTCCAGCCTTCAAATCACAGGGTTGGTTCTCCTGGCAACCAGCCAGGAACCTGAGGTGCTTTCCATAAGTCACCTCATTAATACAACGAAAGATACTTAGCTCTTAACACTTAGGAAATTCCAAGGGTTTTAAGAGCTCTGTGGCAGAAATGGGATGAAGACCAAATATGTATTATAAGTCACAACATCACATGGCCTAACCCAAGGTTACAGAGATTTTTCTCCTATATTTTTGGAAATTTTAGAGTTTTAGCTTTTACATTTAGGACTGTCGCCTATTTTGTATTAAATTCTGTACATATGTAATGGTCAAGGTTCATTTGTTCCCCAGCATGTTTATCCAATTGATCCAGCACCTTTCCTGAAAGCAGAATCTTTTCCCCTGTGATATTACCTTGACACCTTTATTAGCTATGAATAGGTCTTGTATAGCTGAGACTATTTTTGGATTATTTGTTCTGTTTCAGGGATCTCTATGTTTATACTTATAACAATACCACACTGTATTAACTAAGGTAGATTCAAAATTATTTTAACAAATAATAATTAACAAAAAAGTTGCTAGAATTTTGACTGCTATTGCATTGAGTCTATAAATCAGTTTGGGGACATCTGTCTATCATCTTCAATTACTTAGGTCTTCTTTATCTCAGAGCATTTTATAATATTCAGTGCATGGGTCTTACACATATTTTGTCAAGTACATCCTAAGTATTTCTAAGTTTTTGATAATATTGCAGATGGTACTTGAATTTTCTCGTCTCAGTGTATGGATAATGCATTATAACCCCGTACTCATTGAATATGGCATTTTAAAGAGCTGTTTTTCAAATGATTTGGTTGCTCATTTAGAGGTGGAGCAAGGTTAAGGGTGGGGATATGAAAGAATTTGATTACTTTTTTCAAAGTTCAACTTAGTCTTCAATTATTTCTGTAAAGTTCAATCTGATAAGTAAAATTCACGGAGAGTTGTGTGGCAAGTGGCGTCCCGGAGCTCTGGATTCAGATATCATTTCAGTCATTTCCTGGTTGTATGTCTTTTGGAAGGATGCTTAACGTCTCTTTGTCAACACTTGGTCATCTTCAACATCTACAAAACTCTACTTACCGTGTAGATCTCTTTATGCAGACAAAATGATTTCATGTAGAGAGAGCAGTCCTGGCACGTGGATGCTGAGTAGCGTATGTCATTAATATGCAAGGTAAATAAAATTCCAGTATAAGCCTTTAACATAAGATTTATTAGGTAAGATATACTACATTTACATCAGTGTGGTTAATATGACAACAGAAAGTCCAGAAGAAAGGAGGTTAACCAGCCACCCAAACTAGGTTTTAAGAGATTTGCAGCCTTACACCTTGTAAGAAAATAATAAGCTACCGTGCCAATTTTTAAATTTAAGGACTATATTTATTAATGAGCTAGAATGTTCCCATCTACTAGGAAGGACATATTTTCCTTAAATTAAATCTAGGTGAAGGATGAGATTTTGATCAGGGATTTGTTTGGTGAGCAAGAAATTGCAGCAAAAGGGGTTAGTGGCTATGCCAAGGTATTCAACACTGTATTGCGTCAGTGACATTTTGCCAAGTTGACTGGAGAC